CTGTCTATCTGTGCACGTCGATTAGTAGTGATGACTGAGGGGGAACCAAAGTTGGATATCTAGTGGTTCAATAATGTTTTGACAGCTATTTAGGCTGAAATATATGGCAATAGAACAGTGACCTTACTCGGAAGCTAATCGACTTATGCATGTAAGAAGATAGTTGAAAGCATTGGAAAGTGATGGTAGTCTTACTATATTTATATGGATATGCTGAAATCTGGTAGCGGGCGTAATAAACTGGTCAAGTGAAGTTTTGGTGTGACGATGAATTTTTATTCTTTGACATTCAAACATGTTGGCATCCAATGTTTTACTTGAGGACTGATATATGGTCAAATTAACCTTTCATTGATCAGCCTAATCGCAGCGCTGATAACATGATACTTTATGCAGTTTATCGAGCACTGTATGTCTAGTTGCTTGAGGAACAAATGGACGTTGTTTTCCAATGGTTTTGTCACACATAACTGTGTTAAACTTAAAGTGAGAAAACTAAGATAGTAACCCTTGAAGAGGTCAGCGTTTTAATCCTGAATAATTCTTTAGTTGGTTCATATTAGATTTGTTTATTTGACACAGTGACAGAGTATTATTTACTTGATCACGTATCGAACATAGACTGTTACTCATAATCGTATCAATGGAATCACACTACTTTCGACATCTGATTTTTATAGTCCTGTCATTTCACATTCCTTGTTTTTGAGAGTCAAATTTTCAATATCTCTGATATAGGTGTTGCGTCATTTCTATTACGCATGTCGGGTAGTAACCTCGCCTGGTTAGCCAGTTCACTAGTTACTAGCCGGTCCTAAGCCCGGGTAAAGAGGGAAGGTTGGGCATAGGGATAGCAACCCTACCCCGTAAAACAAATCTAACCGCTAAACAAACTTCAAAGAACAAACAAAATATAAAAAATAAAAACAAACTTATTCCCGCTGGAATCGGAGAGGCGAAATGACGCCAGTTGGTGAAAGCCTGCCTTCGGGAAGCCAATTGGCCGATGTGTCTTCTCTCGATGAAAGCGAAATGGAATGTCCGCACGATGTTTGAACCCAGTAAGGCAGCCTAGATTGCAAACGAGATGAGAAGGTATCACATCGAAGTGCTTGGGATCTGCGAAAGCAGATGGAATGGAAGTGGAGTCTCCAAACTGTCAACTGGAGAATCAATAATCTACTCCGTTACTGTCACCCAGACGACAACCACGAGCACACTGAGTATCGGAGTGGCTATCATGATGTCCCCAAGAGCATCGAAGGCTCTCATACAGTGGGAACCAATCACCTCCTGGATCATGACAGCAAGATTCAACTCAAAAGGAAGGAAGGTCACAATCATACAATGCTATGCACCTACAAATAATGAAGACGCAGATGAAGAGAAAAAGGAGGATTTCTACAGACAACTTCAATCAACACTGGACAAGACACCGCCTCAGTTGGCGATATCAAAATTCTAATGGGAGACATGAATGCCAAACTGGGAGGGGACAACACAGGAAGAGAACTAACCATGGGTCGAGAAGCGCTAGGTGAGGTGATGAACGAGAATGGAGAATTGTTTGCAGAATTCTGCGTATTCAACGATTCGGTGATTGGAGGTGAGGCAGTGTGTTCAGGCACAAGGATATCCACAAAGCGACATGGATTTCACCAGATGGACACACCAAAAATCAAATCGACTTCATCTCAATCTCAAGAAAATGGAGACGCAGTCAGTCTACTTAACACAAGGTCAAGAAGAGGAGCAGATGTAGGTTCACACCACTCACTATCTAGTGCAAGCCTTCAAGAAAACTGGTGATAGACCGCAGTTCAAGTACAACACTCGAAACTGAAGGATGAAACTACAAAGGAGATCTTCACGTCAGCCAGACATCAGAACAAAATGGGAGATATCGAGGAACATCCCTGAAGAAACCTGTGTGGAAGAACACTGGAAATCTTTGAAAGCTATGTGGAAAGAAACCTGCACAACAGTATTAGGAAGGAAGAAGAAGAGGCAAGACAAGGAATGGATCTCGACGGATACCTGGAAGCTGATAGATGGGGGAGAGGAGGATGGTGAAACAGAAGATAAACCAGTGCAAGGATGCTCAACGACAAGAGGAACTGAGCACAATGTATGAAACAGTAGTCAAAGAAGTAAAGAAGAGTGCACGCGAAGACAAAAGACACTTCTACGAGACACTGGTAGGTGAAGCAGAACAGGCTGCAGGTAGAAGAGATAGAGACCTGACAACATTGTATCAAATAACCAGGTTGTTATCAGGGAAGAGATCAACACAGATGAAACCAATAAAAGATGAAGAAGGAAATTTAAATACGAAAGAAGAGAAACAGAGGAAACGATGGGCCGACCACTTCAAGAAGCTCTTGAATCGACCACCACCACTACCTGCACTTCGTCCAGAAATACCACCTGCAGCCGCTGAATTACAAGTGAACATAAATCCTCCAACAAAAGTCGAAGTCCTGAACACCATAAACCTACTTAAATGCGGGAAAGCAGCAGGACCAGATGGAATCCATCCACAAGCACTGAGAACAGACGCAGAGACAACAGCAGACATGCTCACACCAATATTGCACAAGGTGTGGAAGGAAGGGAAGGTACCAGCCCAACGATTGGAAGAAGGGTTATCTTGTCAAACTGCCGAAGAAGGGAGACCTGAGTGTTTGCAAGAACTGGTGCGGAATCACTCTCCTGTAAAACCAAAAAAAGGAAAATATTAAGCCGCATCATCCTGGAGAGGCTTAAAGATGCACTGGATTCAAAACTACGACCGGAACAGGCAGGCTTCACGAAGTACAAATCATGTGCAGACCAAATTGCAACGCTTCGCATCATCATAGAACAGAGCACAGAATGGCAATCACCTCTCCACCTCAACTTCATCGACTTTGAGAAGGCCTTTGACAGCCTCGACCGACAAGTAATTCGAAAACTGCATCAACACTACAGAGTATCGCAAACTTTTATCCGCCTAATTCAACAACTATATGAAGATGCCACATGCCAGCCAAGTAATTCACAATGGGAAGCTCAGTGATGATTTTGAAGTGAAGTGGAGACAGGAGTAAAACAAGGTTGCCTACTATCCCCCATGATATTCCTGATTGTGGTCGACTGGACTGGATCATGCAGCAAACAGTAGGCAGCGAGAAGAGGGGGATACACTGGACTGCAGAAAAGAACCTAGAAGACTTGGATTTCGCCAGTGATGACTTGTGCCTGATGTCACATAAACTTGAAGATCTGCAGGCAAAAACTAGCAAGTTGACGGAAGAGGCAGGATAGAGAAGACGGGACTTCAGGTGAATATAGAGAAGACGGAGGTGATGAAGATACCGCACCACCACCATCAACAACAACAACAAACTCCAATCACCGTCAACGGGAGAAACTTAAAGGAAGTAACCTCCTTCACTTATCTAGGAAGTACTGTTTCAACTACAGGCGGCACAGGCACAGACGAGGATGTCAAAGTCAGAATCGGAAAAGCAAGACAGGCATTCATTAGCCTGAAACCAGTGTGGAGATCTGCTTTACTGCACTCAGCATGCGGAACAAGATACGGATTTTTAGCACCAATGTCAAGTCAGTGCTTCTGTATGGTTTAGTGAATTGGAACGTCACGAAAGGGATTTCCAATAAACTACAGACATTCATCAAAACTGCTTACGCTGGCTGGTTACTGAAGATCAGATGGCCAGAAAGAATAAGCAACAAGGTGCTCTGGCTGGCAACGAACCAACCAAGAACCTATCACGCAACAAATATGCAGGAGGAAGTGGAGATGGATTCGGCATGAACTGAGAAGGCCGACTGGGGACATCACGCGTCAGGCCAGGTACTCGAGTGGAATCCCCATGGGAAGCGACGAGTTGGGTGTCCGAGGTGAGGGTGACATGGAGGAGGTCGTGAGAGGAGGAAATGAGAGCTTCTGGGCTTTCGTGGAGCCAGGTTCAAAAGATCTCAGAGAACAGAGGTCACTGGAGACGTGCTACTGAATCCCTATGTTCCACTAGGAACCCAAGGGACTAATAATAATAATAATAATAATAATAATAATAATAATAATAATAATAATAATAATGTCGGGTGGTGATTCGATGAACAAAAGTCGGTAGGCAATTTCGCTTTTCACCTATGTTCAGCTTAAGTACAGTGGTTTTATCCGAAACTATTGTATAGTTGTGTTAATACACGCACTACAGAAGCCAAGTATTTTCTAGATTACTTATCCTACTGGGGTCTGTCATTCTATATTTAGCTAAATTCCTACGTTCCAATGATCTAACTGACCCCAATCTGTTAGTTTGACTTATGTGCCTGACCTCAGAGTCATTGTTCGAAATTTGGTAGGTGAGATTAACTTACTTTTTTGTTTAATAATCCAAAGAACTTCAAATTCCACTCAATACGACAAGGAGTATATATTGGTGTTTACTATAAAGTGAAGAAGAAATGTTCTCGTTAATTCGTGCTCTTATGAATGTTCTCTTTCTGCATCATAATTTCCCTGATTCCAACGAATAAGAAATCTTAAAGCAAAACAAATTGTTGATCTTATCAAATACTGTATTCATACAATAAACTTAATTTAATGCTGTATTGTAAAACTGAAATAACTAGAACTGGTTATTTTGTCAACCATTTAGAAAAATAAGTGAATAAAAATCCACTACATATTAGCATTACTTATTATTTTGTAAGTAAAGCGTAATGTGTAAGTAAGTTGTAAAACTTTCAAAACAAACGGTTAAAATCAGAAATAAATATAAAAAAGGAGGAAAATATTTTGATGGATACGATGTAAAATCTTTGAGGATTTGTAATATATAAGTTATATAATCAAATGAAACACATTTTAATATCATACAATATTAACGTACAATATTCTTTTAGTACAATAGCTAATTGATTGATTGTCTATTGGTCACAAATTAAGATATTTATTGTACACAGTGAACATGATAAACGTGTAGTTGTTAAATCCTCTTATGATTAATTGGTGGTAGATGGAATGAACTAAATTTTTGTTGAAATTTCATATCTTTGTGTCGCCATGTCACTGGATTATTTTGATGATCTGAAGATTTATCCTTTTTCATTTTATCCAACTGAACATAAGCAAAAAAAAACTGTTTTCATGAAATATGCAAAGATATTATACTGGTCTGTTTCATTTACATGCAAACGCTGAATGCTATTTTGTTTTGATTCATACACAAATAAGCGTAGAACACAGCAAAGAAATGAATCATTTTAAGTTACTAGACTTCAACCGGTGAATGCAAAAGAAATGCATAAAGATAAAGAATTATAGTAACGTCGAGAAACGTGTATGAGAAATGATAAATAAATGAAAATCGATAAAAATATTTAACACTTGGTAGATGATAAAGTGTATACATCTGTTTCACAGTAGTTGATTTTAAGCCATGTCATTAGGATACCTCATTCATTGGTGCGTATCGATCGAAGGAAATGACTGACTGACTAACAAAAACAAAGTAGAACATCATACACAGTCAGTCTTCCCGCATCAATCATATTGGTTGAAGTCGCGAGAATCCATTGGCGTTTGCTAACTTTCATGTGTTAGTTTCCAATCGCCTTTACCGCTATTATTACAGCAAACCTAGTATCATGCCAGGTTTACACAGGATGGGCATTGCTGTCACGTTCAGAGAAATGCTTGGTTAACTTTCGCCTAAATAAGTACTTGCTTCCTTTATCTACTGATTGAGCAGAAATGGGCCTCAATGTTTCCTGCAACCTAGAAAGACGCAGATATACACAAGCCCGCACTTGCATGTGATTGGAGTCCAATCTGATACTCCAGAAAGAGCGCCGATCCTCTCTAACGATAGCTTACAGCAATGTAATCTGACTACGTCCACCGATGATTTGAAGTCGGTTGGCAACATGTGAGACAGTGTCTCTTCTTATGCTTGAAGTTAGTGCTGGCCAGAAACAAGTAATTATCAGGACGAAATTGCAACAGACGATCACCTCTTCCGGTTCGTTCGTGTGGGATTCCGCAAATACCTCCATGACGACTTTCCGATTGACTCAGCTCAGCTTCCCTACCTGAGCGCTAGTCACTTGCCATTTTGATTACATCCAAACGTTTTGCTTTCCGTAGCAAAATTGACAGCTTCTGATACAATTCATCCTTTGAATCATCTAGTGGGTGGGTAGGCGGAGATCGCAAATAGGCATTGGTTGGTCTCACGATCTTTCTGCATCCTTATAGATCTATTCAGTTGACTAGCACATAGATGGTTGTTTACTGGTATCCAGTCGAGAAGCGTACATTCTGTCCAACAGCTTAATGCTATGCCTACGCCAGCAAGTCCAAGAGAGCTAGTCATTTAGTCTTTGGATACTCGCAAGGTGGATTTTGAAGATCCACTACTATGGCCAGGTGAGGTCAATTCAATGATCAAACTCGGGTCCTGTATATATTGTCTCAAGAGACAGTATAGATTCATGGCTGAAGGTTTCAGAATGCTGGTGAGCGATGCTTGTCGTCCGGATGCTGAAAGCCCTTACATGAAATCCCTGGCTGCGTCTGAAGAGGTTGGGAAGTGTTTCAATGGCTTTGATCGTTTATAATGTTTACAGAGCGAGAGGTTGAGGAAGGAGTAAAAGGCTTATATTAGTATCAGGAGGTAAAGGCAAAGTGGGGAAAAGGGTTGAGGAGGATAGGTTAGTTTTGATTGGGTCTTGTGTGTAAGCGGTTGACACTTCCTGACTGCCCACACCGTGAAAGGCTATTTGTTCTCAAGCTACCAGAAAGAGAAAAGGATATGTGTGATCACAGAGACCAAGGAGCATATATTTTAGGCCGGTCACACACGGCTTTTGTGGGATGTTGGTTTGATGACTGGTTGTTCTGAGGACCTATACCGCCGGCACTGGAAGATCTATGAGTAGAAGGAGTGTGGTCTCTTTGAGACCGCCCTTTTCAAACCGTCCTCTCCCTTTACATTAGGAAGTCAGCGTGGCAATGATAGTCATCCAAGAGAAACACCTTACTGCTGTCACATCCCATCTAGCTAGCACCAGTACGACTTCGTCCACAGAGCCCCATCAAGGTGTAGTAATTTACGCCACAATGATAACTGTTTTTCGTCTTACCGCTATCCAACAGACCTTTATGGTATGGTAGGACCTCAAGGGAACAAGCATTCCACCAACGTAGCTCATTGAGTCATTGTGTGATATGCAACCCTGATCACCACTTCAAAATAGCAGCTATCGTTCCGGTTCAAAGTCTTAAAGAACTCAACCAGGCTGCCTAGTCCTACGTAAACCACTCAGGTCAACAATAAGAGACCTCATGAACTAGTACTGTTCTTTGGTCTAGCCACACTAAGCTTTCTTCCAACCCAGTTCTGGTAGGTAGCCTGAAACAGGGAAGGGCAGTAGGACCAGACGGACTACCTGCTGAGGTATACAAGAATGGTGGTAGAGTTCTCTTAGTCAGGCTAACGGAAGTGTTAGCCAGTATATGGGAATCAAATACGATCCCCTCCGACTGGTCTAAGTCACTGATCATCCCAGTCTTCAAGAAAGGCGAGAAGTCCTCTTGTGATAACCACAGAGGAATCAGCCTGACAAACATAGTGTCTAAGATCCTAAGTTCTATAATTCTCCGACGCCTGAGTGGAGCTCGGGAACAGCAAGCCCGAGAAAACCAGGCAGGCTTTAGACCTGGCCGTGGATGTATCGACCAAATATTCACACTGCGCCAGGTCCTGGAACATAGGCATGCTTACAGACGCCCGACAATAGCTGTATTTCTCGACCTGAAGGCGGCATTTGACTCCGTTGATCGAGAAGTCTTATGGCAGTGTCTGTCACTGAAAGGCGTGCCTAGTAAGTACATCACCTTATTGAAAGCTCTCTACTCGAACACTTGTGGGCATGTTAGAGCCTATGGTGAGTTGTCCAGGGAGCTATACTCATCAAGTGGTGTCCGTCAAGGATGCCCACTATCCCCATTCTTATTTAATTTTATCATAGATATTCTTATGGAGGTTTCCCTCTCGTCACCTAATTACAAAGACGTTGACCGGATCACAGGTGAATTTTCCTTAGATCTAGAATATGCAGATGACATAGTCCTGTTAGGTGAAGACGCTGACAAGATGCAGAGTCTTCTGAACACTTTGAGTGGGAATTTGAGAATGTTTGGGATGCGATTTTCACCACCCAAATGCAAATTTTTGCTCCAGGACTGGTCTTCAGCGGTACCGCGGTTAACAATAGAGAGTGAAGTGGTTGAGTGTGTTGACCACTTCACTTACCTGGGAAGTAGGATCAACCCGGTGGGTTAGTTGCCGATGAGATTTCTGCACGGATACAAAAGGCTCGATTGGCTTTTGCCAATTTGCGCCGCCGTGATATTCGTTTGTCTATTAAGGGTCGCGTGTACTGCACAGCAGTCCGCTCTGTTCTACTGTATGGCTGTGAAACATGGCCATTGAAAGTGGAAGACATGAAAAGGTTACAGGTATTTGACCACCGTTGCCTTCGTAGTATAGGACGTATTCCGTGGTGTCACCATGTGAGTAATGCAGAAGTTAGGTGTAGAGTTTTAGGGAGAAGAGGTAAGTCAGTCGACGAGGTTGTGAACCTTCATCGACTGAGATGGTTGGGACACGTACTACGTATGCCTAGTCACCGATTGCCTCGTCACACAATGTTGGCTGAGGTGGGTTCAGGCTGGAAAAAGGCCCGAGGTGGCCAGACTAAAACATGGCACCAATGTATGAAGTCTCTGACTGTTGGTTTAAGCCATGTAGGACGATGCAGACTAGGTGGTTGGGGTCCACGGGACAAGAGGAACCAGTGGTTGGAGACCCTAGGTGATATGGCTCAGAACCGAAGTCAGTGGCGCAGATGTATACACACATTATCCTCATCTTAACAACGCTATACCGAATCTCACTATTTTGTCACTCCTCTTTCCTTTCTTCTCGTACTTTATATTTCTTTTGACTGCATTCACTTATCTTCATCCTTCACCTCACTACCTTTTTACTTGATGTGCTGATATGAGGTGTGGCAACTCGGACCGTTACGCAGTAATGCCTGGTCCTATGTTGATAATGATGATGATGATGAGTTCTGGTTCCGTTAACATCTTTTGTAGAGGTAAGTGGTGTCTCAGTATGATCAAAACACTTCAGTCGACGGTGTTTTATTACTTCCACGAACTTGTCTTTACTGTTTATTACTCTACGCCAAACTCGACAATACTTGTATAGTAATTCCACTCCATTTTAGCAATGCTACGAAAACAAATTAGGTGCATAATCTATACCTTTTCCATATCTTCGAAAGAAACATGAAACGGCTTCCTTCAACAACTGGCTGCTCATATATATGATTGAAAAAACAGTGTGTTTGATTGTTGATCAGATGGCTAAATCAGAGATTCGGTGAATACCCAAACCGTAACTCTACATGCCGAACCACTGCCTACCTCGACGTGCCATGCATAGGAAAGTTGGATTAGGTTGGAAGATGGTTCAAATTGGCAAGATCAAGACGTGGTGCTAGTTCATGAAGTCCATGAATGTTGGCATAAATTGCGTAGGCTTAAGTCTACCTGGCTGGGTCACCCGAGATGATAAAAATCAGTGGTTGAGGTCTCTTGATGACTTGCTTGAAAATCGAGCACAATGGCACAGATGTATTCACTGTTCGCTGTCTTCTAAAGCTTGAATATTTTCACCAACCTTTATCTTCGAATTGTTTGCTCTCTCATAAATATTAGTCTACTTTGATATCAGTCTTTCTTGTCGTTTTGTTTTTTGTATGCTACTGTGAAGGGTGGCAACTTGAAGTGATGCATCTGTGTGCGAGGCTTCTTTGATTTTGTCTCTGTCTATCATACATTTATCTATACTTGCACCATTTCAAGTGCTTATGTAAGATATAAAGTGTCACTGTTTGAGTGTCAGGCCGATGAAACTGAATTCAATACCCAGTCAGTCTAGCCATTTCTTTAACGTGAAAAACACAAAGGTAACAAGTAAAACAAGTATTTTTGATCCCTAACGTTTTTCATATATAACTTACTGTTTCAGTACTTATCATGAAAATTGTCAAGTAACTATTTATAACAGCAGACAGAAAATTTTTAATAGCAGATGATACTCGATTTCCAACCAACAGATCAGGTGTTCTGGCCTTATCGCATGTGTCAAGATTTATTTATTTGGCTGGTAAGATCGCATACATCCCTCCCTATAGAAAAACTGGACGTTGTAGCAGCTACTCATTTCTTATACTAACAGTGGCCTAGTGGGAACAACATCACGTACTGGGAGGGATGCACATCCAGCTGACATGTCCTAAATAGGACGAAACTAGCGTCTTCGATTCCACTGCTATCCATTACGATCGTTACCATAAAGTTGAAATGATAGGCAATATCGAGGCATCCACGCAGGGGCTCATATGTTAATAGAGACCGATTAATTCAGATTAATTAACAACAGGAAAATAAAAGTAACATTTAAAAAAATACTTACAGAATGATGTGTATCAATAAATTTATTAACAAGTTGCATTTGTCTATCAAACTTTAAAATGTGATCAGGAAATAAACTTTCTTCATTGAAATAGTCTGGAAGTGCTACAAAATAAAATCATAGAAATAACTATAAGTGTAAGGCATTGGCAGATTTTAATCACTTTACAGAGAGTTTAAAAACAAACACAAATAGAAGCAAAACACAAACACTATAAATATTAACAGAAGTATATGTAAATTGTATTCTTTACTCTGATATGTTAAGTCCGATGCATTTAACATTGATCTTGGTGAATAGCAGAGGAATCCAGGACATACGTTTCGTCCTATTTAGGGCTTGTCAGCTCGATGTACCTGTACCCCAGTGAGTGATGTTGTTCCCACTGAGACTCGAGCCTCATACCCATCGCTTTAAACGTCAAAGCGTTATCCACAAAGCCGCTGGAGTACAATAGCTATCTCTTGTGCAACGGAAATCGGTTTTGTTATGATGTTTATCATTCCCCGTTATACAACACCGACCTCTGTTGGCGGATGGGCTGCTGAATGTTAATGATGTTATATTGATCTTCGATGCATCCTCTTCAAATATTTGACGTTTGTCTCTGAAAACAGCCGAAACTTCTGGTCATAAAATATGCAGATGTCACTACGAGCAGGGGATTATCTGCTGTTGGTTTACACAGTCAGAACAGTCTATCTTTGTCATATATATATATATATATATATATATATATATATATATATATATATATATATATATATATATATATATATAGGTACTCGGTTGTAATAGACAGTAGGGAAATTTGAAATGTGCAAATAACTTTAAACAGGAAATGTTAGTCAAGTATATCCATGTTTCAGTGGGTATCCCTCTTCTCAGTAGAAGCAGAACCTTGCAGTTATCCCTCATAAAATGAAATTGCTGTACACTAGCCTACTGAATAATGAAGACTATTCAGCATTCAACTCATCACCATCATCAATATCAACATTGGACCAGGTATTGATACACGACAGTCTAAGTTGCCAAACCTTATAGTAAAGCAGAGAAAAGCGGAAAGACAAAATGCTGAATTTAGTAAAGCGGTTAAGATAAAGATAGTGTGTGGATACATCTGCCCCATTAACATCGATTCTGAGCCAAATCACTTAGAGTCTACAACCGTTGGTTTCTGTTGTCACACGGACCCCAACTAGCTAGTCTGCACTTCCTTGCATGACTCAAACAAACAAGTCAGGGACTTCAAACAGTGATGCTATTTTCTAGTCTGGCCGCTCTGAGCCTAGAGGCCTGCAAAAGTGCTATGACGATGCATAATGACCATATGACAAGTTAAATTCAACCCAGTACCTAGTAAAAAAAGTAAAAGGTAACAGATAAAATTGACATAAACTAGTAGCTCAGATGATCATCCAGAGTACAGAGCCACACATATATTGGTGAACTCGGTAGGAAATAAATAAACCAAAAAACTGGAATTCTGACTCAGTGGCTCAATGATATCGTGCCCACCACAGAACCCGAAGGTTATGGGTTGGGTTCGGATATAGAAACACTGCTGAGGAGCCCCATCGCAAGATGAAACAAATGTCCAGTGTTCAATTGGTGTCAGTCTGTGATGAATGCCAACTTGAAATCACTAAGATCTCCGCAAACCTCCAAAGTGGAATTTTGTCTGCTCAGTTAATACTACTTGTTTCCTCATGTTTACGATACACTAAAGTAAACAACCCATTTTGTTGCCTTCTTCTTTAGGTGACATATGTTCAGCTAGGTACCTGAAGAGAATAAGTAAGTACACATTGAATAAGATTCAACATTTAAGCGTTCCTCCCCAAGATTTTATCGTTAAATCCGATTTAGAAATCAGCTGCTTACTTTTACAGAGGTAAATTACTGATTGACTTGTATATGCATTTATTGATTGTACTACACTGTGAACGACATCAATGTTCTTTCAGACTCATCGCTACAAATCAGAAGGTTTTTTTCTTAACGGTTAGAATTTCAAAATTAAACAGGTTTATTTAAATAACAGTGTAGAGTAAATAATTGCTTAGTCTAGTCTAGTTACCTTATAAGCTGTTGGCATTTGTATTTACATGTCGAAGAAGAGCATATTTACTGAATTAAAAGAACAATCTCTCTACACAGTAATTTCTTACAGTTACATGTTGGACAGTATATATTTATCACACTAAGCATGAAAGGTAAACCGGTCAATAAGGTTGTGAACCTTCATCAACTGAGATGGCTTGGACATGTGTTAGTTACACCTTCTGAGCCACCTACCACCTCAACATGCAATCCTAAGAGACGCTCGATTAGATGGAAGGAGACTCAGCATGGATAGAACACGGTGTGGTATCAGTCCATGAAGTCCCTATCTGTTGATTTGAGGTGTGTAAGGAGGTGCAGACTGCCTGGATGGCGTTCAAGAGACCATATGAATCAGCAGTGGTTGTAGACTCTTGACGACATGTCTCAAATTCGATCACAAAAGGGAAGATGTGTTCACTCTTTAATATCTCCTAAGCTTGAATATTTTCCCCAACCTCTATATTCGCATAGCTTATTCTCTTATATACCTTAGTCCACTTTGATACCATTCTTTTTTATCCACTTGTTCTTTGTATGCAACTATGAAGGGTGACAACTGGAATCGATACATTTGTGTGCGACGTTCTACACTGAGTTTAGATTCGATGAAATGTGGATACAGTATCAATGAAGTTGTAAAGTTTTGTGGACTTAACTTTCATTAAACCTTTAGTTCACTCATATGCTAGTCTAGAATAATTAAGCTGGACTTTTACTGCATAGCGAATAAATAATACTGAGCTTTTCGGCCCGACGCTCTACCAACTGAGCTAAGAGGTTCCGGAGACCCAGTGGTCGCTGGTTTGAATCCGACCACGGTCCAAATTTTCATTTCACCTTCAATCATTACCCAGTATAAATACGAGCCTGATAAACCACGGCTATCTCAGAGAGTCAAAAACCATAAATAGTACTGAAAGAATTTTACATTTATCAGTCATCTTTTTAAAAATACTCTCTCACTTGCTATAAATTGCTGATAGTCCGAATAAATGTAATCTGAAGAGACTTACGTTGGAGTGATTCTGGATTATTTTTACTCATTGTAATTGCTGGAATTTCTTCTTTATCAGTGAAATAATTTTCTGGATGAATTATGAAGTCTGGTTGTTCCATTTCATTGATCTGGTCAAATGCACTTAAATGTAATGCCTTATCAATTAAAAAGAATGTGAAATCATACAGTAGAAATATTACCAGATAGGAACTACTCATAAGTTGCATTTAAATAAAGTTAAAAAACAGTTAAAATACAAAGCTAAGAAATGATTTACTACCAATGTAAACAACAATTTTACTGCAATTTAAATCGACAAAACGTGAGGAAGCAATATACTACGATTGGGGCCTGGTCTAACAGCAGAATCTGAAAGTTCTAAGTTCGGATTCTGGCAGGATTGTGGGTACACGCTGTCGAGTATTCCTGCATTAGGACGAAATAGCTGTCCAGTGCTCCCAAGTTTCTGATGGTGCTTCAACTCATGTACGTCTTTGATGAATACCACCTTATAATCAATAAAATCAGCACAAAGCTGAAAACTGAATTACTATCCAGTGGTCATTAGAGACTTGCTTCACGATGAGATTTCTCCAAGTTCTAGTGTGAATTTGTGATTCATGGGGCAAACGAAGTCTGATTATAAAGAAGAATGATTGTAACAGTAAGCATGAAACTTATTCGGTCTTCCTTGGATTTATGGATTTGATAACGCTGTTTTCATCAAAAGCTCTGGTAATAAATGAAAGTTATAACATCAAATAGTTGTTATGGGATCAACTGAGGAACAATAAATATATTTACACCACCATTCATGAGTGGTAGCCATAGTACTCATGTTTAGGGTGTTTGTTAGTCAGGCACCAACAAGACAAAATAAAAAAAGCCCATTGAAAACCGGTGAGCACTAGACAAGTATTTTATCATAATTCCACACAAGAATATATCGAATTTTGTTAGACAACAAAAAATTAATTCGATCAAGTACTCTGATTTGAAAGCAAACGTTTATTCTAATTCCCGATCTGTATGCAGCAGATATGAAGTGATTTTACAATGACTCAACCGTTGGGAAGTTGTGATGAACTGAAGAAATAAATATATATACATACGTACTGTTATTATTACTACTACTGTCAGCCTTTAGTAAAGAAATGTAATGATGAGATTGTTGTGGCAACATATCAAACCTTAAACAGCATAATATGGTTGACCAAAACGTTTTTATTGTACACGTCTTTCCTACAATACAGTAGCATAGTAAGTTGTTATATAAGAATTCTGTTTATCACAGTTTCAACAGAAATGATTTTTTCTAATACCTTTACTAAATTAGCAATAAGTATGGTAATATTACGTTTGTTCTGTTCTTCAACAATCAATAATGAACATTCTATAGTATTTCTAAAATGTTAGTTTGATTAGTCCAATTAGTTGGAGAGTAATTTGTGCTTCCTTGAAGGTATCTTGTTTCTCAAAAAAACTTTTCAGTAACAATATAAATGGTGACTATATTGGAACGAACCAACCAAGAACCTATCACCCAACAAATATGCTGAAGAAAGTGGAGGTGGATTGGGCATACACTGAGAAGGCCGAGTGGGGACATCACGCGCCAAGCCAGGTCTTTGAGTGGAATGCAGAGGGGAAACGATGAGTTGGGCGTCCGAGGCGAGGGTGACATGGAGGAGATCATGTGAGGAAGAAATAAAAGCTTCTGGGCAGTGGTGGAGCTAGGTTCAAAAGACTGCAGAGAACAGAGTGCAATAGTGGCGTGCTACTGAAGCTCTATGTTCCACTACGAACTCAAGGGAAAAAAATAATAATATTTGAACACACGTTTGTTTATTTTTCAGTGAGCAAACGTCCTAGGTTCGACCACCTAAGGTATCGTGAGTGTATCTTGCTGAAGAATCCCAAACTAGAATGAAACGAATGTCTAGTGCATCCAACTATTTAATAGTTGTTCAAATGATACTATTATAATTTCAAACAGATTACTTAGGCTGAATCTCGCTCTAAGTGGACAACATTTTTCTCACTTGATGTATATAAATAAACTGTATTGAGTATAGCACCGAAAATCAAATGAATATACCTTTGATCTAATGCTTGGTATACAACTAGAAAAATCGAATAGATTCATTCTAAAAGGGAATTAAATACAAACCGTGAATTTCAACCAATTTTTTGAACCGAAATTAAGTACTAAGTACTAAAATTAATGGTATTCACAATTCACAGCCCTAACCATCTAATTTGGGATGAACATAGTCAAAAAGAATTTACTATGCGCTTTTAATAGTCATAAGAATCAATGATTTTTCGAAATTGTTGCACTTCTTGCAATCGTGGAAACGTCAGCATTTTACGAATGAGAGTTAACTATACCTTGATTGTTTTCAATTCATTCTAAATATAAGTGTAGAAAGAGCTATAGGGTCCAGTATTATTACTTTTATCATTATTTACCGTTACGCTCACCTAGACTCTTCAAAGAAGCTTGAAGTATCCTGAAAACCCTCATAACCAATTAAGATATCATCAGAAGAATCTCATGATGATATATGTGAGCATCACTTTGGTTATTGCAATAAAATCAACGGCGAACTTTTCGCTAGAAAGATTAAGTTCATTTAAGTTTTTACATAGTTGACCTAACGACAAACCTTTTATAATTGGTTTACTGTTTCTTGTCTTTGACAAACTACGATGAGATCTGAAGTTTTTATTGAAGAATTTATACATACATTGGCAAAATACACAATATCAAAAATGTGCTAAACATTTACTCACATAATATGGTCCCTGATTCGTTTGAACTGCTCCTTCAATCGGTGTATCGAAGAATTCTGTCAAAACTACGGGCTGTTTTCGTTGGCGTTTACTGAGACGCACTTCTTGATATACTTTGCCTATCAACATATGACACAAGCTGTTAGTATGTTACTTTACATGTCATAAAATAAACTAATTTTGGAAGTTAGAATAGCTTACAAAAGTAGTGGGATGATAAAAACATTTCTATATAATTTTACTAAGGAAATAGTGCGAATAATTACGTGGAAGTCTACTTGTTGGCTAACAGGGTAATTCGGCACGCACGTTTCGTTTCATATCGGACGTGTCAGTTGGATGTATCTGCACCCCAATGATACTCAAACCCAGTACTCATAGCTTCAAATACAAGGTTTTATCCCCTGGGTCATTGAGGCACGACAGCCACCACCTGTAAAACGGGTATTATTTGTTGTTCATTGATATTTGTAATTTCCCGCTGCTATACAAGGTTGAATTACTTGACCTCTGTTGGCATATGAACTATGAGGATGCTTCGATATCGGCTCGACATTGACTATGTCGTAGTCTACTTAGTGGCTAGCAGTGCAATCCAGAAAGTTAAGCACTTCGACCCAGCATAAGAACGGGTAATTACAAATTTTAATGAAAACGTTTAACTATTCACTTGACTGATTGATGAAAAAAGAACGACCTAAAGTTGGTTCTCTTCACCATACTGTACAGAGAAACAAAAGGTAATGGACAACTGTTTCTCTATCTCTTGTGATTGTGCAGTGTTGTACATCTCCACTTCTATATAGGGTTATATGGATAAATTAAATGTTTCATCAAAAGTATAACAATACTGAATAGCTGGATCGAGTCAAACTACACATTGTCTGTGGTAAATGATGATTACGTCAAATCATAAACTGATCATAATGGGAAAGCTTAGAGTGGATACTTCAGTCGTAAAGTCTTTTAATTCAGAGTTGAATGGTATGATTTTGAATTTCTAAGAAGACAACAGTTTCCTTAAGGTAACAAATGAATTGAAAAAACGACTGTCAAAAAATATGAACTTTAGGTTCAGGGCTTCATATCAATTTACACTTAATATTTATCACTAAAAGGTAATCGTCGAAACAAGTAAGGTCAGTTAGACTGTTCTCTCAAGTGATTTACTCGGCCTCAAAGTGTTTTTTGAGTTAGATACTCATGAAATTAAACAATTCATTTAGTCTTGGTGAAAGTAAACTCTGTCAAATTTGTTCACATTCAATCACTATTGTTACTTTATGAAAATTGCCAAGCTTCTTGAGATTGCACTGTACCAGTCTTTTGGTGTTCATGTCAGTCATCAATGAGAATTAGTTCTCGTATCCATTGATTTAAAGAGATATTTGACACTGTCAATAAGACATAAGCTTCTTCGATCATTGTTCGTTGAACCCAATTCCAAGTTTGCGATCAATGGCAACTTTGAAAATAGGTTCATAATTTGAAACGTCAGTAGTAGAGCTGATCATACATGAGATACATTCTTAGAATTATTGTTTTAAACAAAGTAATTCACTTTTCTTCTTTGTAATTTGTCGCATTAGTAAACATTTTTTTGCCTTACGAAAGTTTGGTTGGCGTTTTAGAAGACAAAACTGAAGCTAATATATTCAACAGGTTTGATCCAGACCGAAAAAACTTCCCTAGAAGAATGTATTTTCAACAGGTACTTTGTCCCACTGCAGGATTCTAAAATATGCTGACTAGAAATGTTTTCAGAGATAGTTCAGAATAATACGGTCTCTCGGATAAGCAATCAGTTCACGACGCTTTAACATGCCTCAGTTTCGTTTTTTTGGTAAATTCAGTTGTTTCGGTTTGTGGTGAGATTCTAGTTAAATTGTGGAACAAAGCAAAAGCCTATGACTAAACTCTACTCAACTTACCTAGCATAGTATTTTTCCAAGCATTCACTCGAAAGTTAGTCAAAGCTTTATTCATTTCTTCAAGTGACATTGTACCATCTAATTCTCCTGTAGTTTCAACAGTGAAATCAGGACTAAGTGATTCTCTCTTTGGAAAAAAGTAATTCGGATAAAGATAAGATCAAGTGGTTAAGGCTGGAAACAGAACTTATAAATTTTAGTAACACCTAGTCTAAACTGTTTATAAAAGACAAACGCAATTCTAGAATAAATAAGAACCCTACCTTTCAGTCTACTAGGTGGCTAGCGGTGAAGTCAAGGATGTCCATTTCGTCCAATTTGGGACTTATCAGCTGGATGCTAAGGGCATCCCAGTGAATGTTGTTCCCACTGGGACTCGTGCTCAGTGCCTATCGCCACAAACGCCAAACGTTTTTTTACCGGAAAACTGGAAAACGATCATCTCTTGTGCAACAGGCACCACTTGTTATTCATTGATACTTGTAACTACGCGTTTGAAGCGATGGGCACCGAGTTTGAATCTTATTGGGAACATCACTCACAGGGGTGCAGGTCTATGTAGCTGACGGGTCCCAAATAGGATGGAAAGTGCGTTCTGGATTCCACTGCTAGCCATCAACTAGGCTACAATGTAATAAAGATCCGGGAAATATTGGCTCATCCGCATAGGAGCTCATCTGCCGACAGACGTCGAGCAATTCGACCCTTTATAGCAATGGGAAATTACTAGTAACAGTAAAGAAGAAAGCCCATCCCGTTGAATTTCTTCGTTTCTTTGGGATGATTTTCATTTTTATTTCATTCAGGCAAATAACTGCCTTTTTCAAAAGTAGAATTTTTATTTTAGTGAGTCTGCGCTAAAAATTGTGAAAGAACCGTTCATCAGCATTAGCTTTACATCAGGATTAATTTTAATTATGAATATAGTACTTACTACTTTGATAGTTCAGTTAGCTAGTTGATTGAAAATTCCTGGATATACCTTTGCCGACTCTAACCAGTGACTTACTTGGGAAGAATTGTATCGGAATACTAGGTAGAAGCATATTACAGGGACCAGCAGAATGCTATATGATGACAGTGACCCATATTTTTTGGTATAATAGCCTGTCGAAGTTACTGACACCAAATTTGTTTATCGACACCAGTCAGTAATTATATACAATTCAAAAGAAGAGTAACAAACTGGTATCATGTATAAATTTTCTCGCCTAATGATTGCATACACACAAATTCACCCAGATGTCCCTGAAAAGCCATCCAGAGATATGTGGTATGCAAAATCGATGCTAGCCTATTGACTAAAACCACAGTATTAGCTCAGGGTACTAAATACTAAGACGATACTAGCAAGGTGTGAGGGATTCAGATAACATACTTTTGGGGTGTCATAAGTAAACACTATGTTAATCACAAAAAAAGAGTGTTTGTTGAGTGTGCCACTTGCTTACAACTGGAAAAGTCAAGTGATAACATTACTTAGTAAGATGCTGAGTGACTTATTCTTGATGAAAATCAATGTTTTGAGTCGGAACAGTCACGAAAAGTAGTCCAGTTACTTATTACTGATTGTTTCTGATAATTTAACTGTGAACAGCCGCATTAAGGCAAATGATTTTGAAAATGAAAAAGAATATGTATCTTAGTAACCGTGCGTACTAAGAAATGAGCCGCACATACTGTATGACATACTGGTTTAAAGTAAACTACCTAGACCAATGAGATCCAGTTCCGCCATACATGATGTGAATAGTAGTCAAGCATAGGTTACTGCTATTAAAGAATGTAGAAGAACTGGGTATTTTGGTGTAGTTAAAATTAAGACTGTCATAATCATTTATGGAGCTGGATTACTGCATTGCCTGATTACAAATTAGAAATGAAACATAAATAGGTTTAAGTATTTTGTGATACCAAAAGGTCAATGTATCTAATTACAACAAAAAGGTCTCTTCTTTATGATACCAGATAATAATACCAGATAAGTTAAAATATTTATTCACTTACTCCTAATATGTCCGAACGCTGTTGAACACTTTCGAATGATGCTGGAATATCCACTAACGTATCACCAGAAGTACCTTCATATGTACTTTCTGTGCTAGCTATCGACGGTAAAACAATATCTCGTGTTATATTTTCCAATTTCCACCTAATTTCCTTGAACAGAAAGTGATAGAAAAACAAAAGTATGGATAAAAATTTCTGTCAAAGATTACCTTGATGCACATATTGCATTTTCTAACTGTTTGCAATACATGTGGACAAGGAGTGGCTATCGTGACTCGGTTACCTGGTGGATAACGCTTGAATTGATCGGTCCCAGGTTTACGTCTTAGTGGGAACAATATCACTCACTGAGAGGCAGGTACATGAAGCTGACAAGTGTCAAATAGAACGTTACGTGATTCCTAGATTCTACTGCTGTCCATGATTACTGTTTGCAATACAGTTTGAAAAATATCAAACAGTATTAACTTTACATCCATAAACGATACTGTAAAGTGAAATCATGGACTTAGGCTCATTATAAAAAAGATACCCTTTGAATAATACCTAACTAATACACACACTGATGAAAATGCAGTAAGGCATTTGTGTTTTAATGACTACGGATTGAAGAATTATTGGTTCTCATTGAAAACCAGTGATAAATCCTAAGTTGAGGAAGTTTCCTTAGATGTTCTTAAATTATATCTCAGACAGTCCCACCGCCAACCTATGCAACTCTCTCTTCTATCTAGTTCAGATGAAGTTACACAAGAAGACCTAACTGGACAGCTATTGTAGACTTGATGAACCAACGAATACTTGTGTATATAGTACGAAAGGTTCAACTAGACAAAACATCATCATCATCATCATCATCATCATCATCATCATCATCATCATCATCATCATCATCATCATCATCATCATCATCATCATCATCATCATCATCATCATCATCATCATCATCATCATCATCATCATCATCATCATCATCATCATCATCATCATCATCATCATCATCATCATCATCATCATCATCATCATCATCATCATCATCATCATCATCATCATCATCATCATCATCATCATCATCATCATCATCATCATCATCATCATCATCATCATCATCATCATCATCATCATCATCATCATCATCATCATCATCATCATCATCATCATCATCATCATCATCATCATCATCATCATCATCATCATCATCATCATCATCATCATCATCATCATCATCATCATCATCATCATCATCATCATCATCATCATCATCATCATCATCATCATCATCATCATCATCATCATCATCATCATCATCATCATCATCATCATCATCATCATCATCATCATCATCATCATCATCATCATCATCATCATCATCATCATCATCATCATCATCATCATCATCATCATCATCATCATCATCATCATCATCATCATCATCATCATCATCATCATCATCATCATCATCATCATCATCATCATCATCATCATCATCATCATCATCATCATCATCATCATCATCATCATCATCATCATCATCATCATCATCATCATCATCATCATCATCATCATCATCATCATCATCATCATCATCATCATCATCATCATCATCATCATCATCATCATCATCATCATCATCATCATCATCATCATCATCATCATCATCATCATCATCATCATCATCATCATCATCATCATCATCATCATCATCATCATCATCATCATCATCATCATCATCATCATCATCATCATCATCATCATCATCATCATCATCATCATCATCATCATCATCATCATCATCATCATCATCATCATCATCATCATCATCATCATCATCATCATCATCATCATCATCATCATCATCATCATCATCATCATCATCATCATCATCATCATCATCATCATCATCATCATCATCATCATCATCATCATCATCATCATCATCATCACCATCATCATCATCATCATCATCATCATCATCATCATCATCATCATCATCATCATCATCATCATCATCATAATAATAATAATAATAATAATAATAATAGCAATAATAATGGTAATAGTAATAGTAATAATAATAATAATAATGGCAATAGTGATGATAACAATTATTTTTTATGACAATCTATGGGTCCATAAGAGTGACGTTGCAGAATTGCGTAGGTAAAAACTACTTTTATAGCTTGTTTAGGAAGAACCAGTACAGTATCATCAAAAAGATTCAAACTGCTTCAGACACTAATTTGTGATTACAATCAACACGTCTGACGTCTTCAATATTTTCACATATATTTAAAGTGATAACAGAAACTAAATACCTGTCCAAATATACCTATCTTCATACCAGCAAGCGTCCATAATATCACTGAACAATCACTAGATGCTGTAGTTATGAAGGTTCCGCGTCCCACCCGTGAACAAAAACACAAGCCGGAAATTGAGTCTGAGTGAGCCTTCCATTTACCAACCAAATCTGTGGAAACATTTTTTGAAACAGTAAACAATTAAAAGAGTTAAACAAGATGACATTAAAGCATATGTTCAGTAAATAATATCGGCTTTGATTGAATTTTCATTTTTAAAACTATACTTTGGGTTTATCCATAAATATTTAACACTAAAGAGAGCAATTTTATTGAGTAGTAAGGAGTGCCAACTTTGAAAATGCTAGTAGCTCAGTTGGTAAAGCATCGGGACGGAAACCCGGCGGTCGCTGGTTTGAATCCGGCAGCAGTCCAAACTTTTACTTCAACTTCAATCACCACTCCGTATAAATATTAGTTGAGGTGACCAGTGTACTATCCCTCTGCAAATGGAATGGTTAACTTGCAGGTCGGTACTTTTCAATCCTATTTATTGTATGAAACAATGATAACTTTCTGGAAAATCTAGCCAAACTTTAAATAAGCGACAGAAATGTGAGGATCTAAGTGGTATGAATCGTGGCCCTACACCTACACTCTGATGTCTTAAAGTGGATATGCTATCGAAAGAATTCATACTTTTCTTCCATGATTGCGCATTCGATTCTTGAAATATTCACAGAAATACAGTGGTTGAATAAGCAAAGGTTTGTCAAGATAGCAAATAAGTATGCGCTGAAGTTTAGTCAACAATGATGTTAAAGATCAACATTGTTAACCTTCATACATATATGCTCAACGAAGAGTCTTGCACAGAAGTGCAACGGTTTAAATTGCTACACTTCACGGCAGCATACAAAGAAGAAGTAGGTAGAAAAGGAGTGATGTTGGAGTTGAAAGAAGTCAGTTCCAGGAAAGGGGATTTGAAAAATGAAGGTCAGTGAAAGTGTTCAAATTTTAGAAAATCCACCGTTGTGATTCACTCTCAACCATGTCATCGATAGTCTCCGACAGTTGATTCCTATTACCTCAAGAACTCCGACTAGGCAGTCTAAACCTCTCTACAATGACAGACTTTATGAACTGGTGCCACATCTTGCTTTGACCATTGTGAGCCTTTTTCCAAACCAATCCGGTTTTGATAACATAACACGTAGGTGGTTGCTAGGCATGCTCAATAAATGTCCAAGCCACTTCAGTTGGTGAAGCTTCATAACTCTATCGACTATCTTGCCTAGTACCTTTCGCTTAGCTCTGATATTGCCCACACAATGATTCTTCAATGAGTGAGTGATGCTACGATGGAAATCTGTGGTTGAAAATCTGTAATCTACTTTTAACGGCCATGTTTGTTATATAAAAAGACAGAATGGACTACAGAACTGTGAAATCCTCGTTTAATGGGTAGCTAGTTATTTCACTAACAACTTACCCATTCAGGCTAATCCAACTTCCCAAGTAAGTGGAGTGGCTATTGCACTTGACCTACTTACTCCCTCCCATTAAACTGGGAGCAGTTGCAGATCAGTTTTGAAGCATTATTTCACATTTAAAAAGTGCTAAATGTGTGCCAAACATTTTCAGATTTCTACTCACTGCATTCAGAAGACCCGGGATTTTTTCAGTCCTCACCTAACACGACAAAGTTCCCTGTGTACTCCAAGTCAACTAGGTGCCCTCCAGGGAGTGTAGGTCAGTACCTTTAAAGTCGGACTATACCTAAGGTTATGTTCACAATTAAAACTAATACTGTAGTTAAACAAGAACGATGTTACCAGGTATATCTGGCTGACACCACTAATTGTTGTCGCTTCGGATTAAACCACGCATAAGCTCTTAAATAGCTAGGTTGATTCTAGTGAAGCGCTTTGTAAGCATTATATTCTTGCTCGGCACTCCCATCACAGCCAGGCGCTGCCAAAATACCTCACGGTTGCCAGTCAAAGGACGCCTTCAGGTCAAGAAATATGGTAAGCCTTGGCCTCTGGTAGATATGTCTGTTTTTCAAAACCTATCAGAGGGAAAAAGTATGATCAGTGCACCTTCTTTCAGGTCTGAAACCTGTCTAGTTTATCCAGATTTGTTGTCCTTGAGCTCACTAAGGCATGGGAAAACTATGAACCCCAGGAACTTGGAAATGATATTAGTCAAACTTATTCTGTCCGATGATTGTTACAAAAAAGACTTCTCTTCCTTCCTATACCAGTGTATAGGAATGACCACAGAAGTAGACCAGTGTGACGGAAATAAATTTGATTCCGACAGAATACCTAGTACCTCCGTTACTCTAACTAATAGTTTTCTACCTGCATACGTGAAAACGTCTGGCAGTAAGACACTAGGTCCTGCTGCTTTGCACTATTTTAGGTTAGAAATAGCCTTCTCAACTTCGAGGATCGAATCCTACACCTAATTCAGGCTCGGGCTGAATACTGGGCAACTAAAGCATTGAACTGTGCTTCAAAAGTTCCGACCAACGTTCTAACTACCTATCCTGAGAAGTTATGACAGACCCATTCTATTCGGTGATTTTTTTTAATAAACAGAGATAACTATTATTACTTAATGTTGATGTTTTCTCCATCTATTTCGTTTTCGCCACCCACCACTGCTCACAGTCATTGTGAAGACTCTAAACCAACTTAAGTTTTAGCTGCTTTCGCTCCTCATTCTGATCAGAACTAGCTGAAATGCATCTCCTAGCACCAACTGGCTTGGATGAGTTTTCGGAAATCCACCAGAATTTGCTTAACTTCAGATGTCGATTTCCAACTGTTTCCATTGCTGACTGAATATTACGCCACGTTTCACAGTAAGAATCGTTGTTATGTTCAAAAAAATGCCTAGCAACCTCCAAATATAAACTTGACGTCCTCACCTCTCAGTCAAGAACGCATAAGCTTCACTATTGTCAGTTCCCTATTGGAATGATTCTCGCGGATTCGATTTGAAATCGAAACATTTTTTAGGCTGTAAGATTATACTACTGGAAAACTTGAGTAGTTAGAAACCACTGTAGCCGATTTGTAGATTTCGTCGGCCTAATCAGGGTGGTTTCAGCAACGCATGGTTGTTTCGTTCGTTTGAGGTCAAACCAGCTCATTCACAGTGTACTCAGAAGAATTTGACTCATAGGGCAGAATCGGTTTAAATCACCTATATTCGGTTAGCTGACTTGGATGGACAAACCAGCCTGAGTGGTTTTTAACTACTTAAGCTGTTCAGTAGTATATTTCGCTAATTCATGACACTTACGTACCAGAGATCTCAGCTTTAGATCTGGATTGAGAGGCGATTTCCAACGGAAGTCATGTTGACACCACAGTTGGGCAGTTTATCAGCTGCCCAACTGTGGACCATGTGATTTTTAAATCATCTGGAGATTGACAATACTAATGTGGGGATTGATATTTTAAACAACACTTATCTAAAGTGAGATGTGATTTCAATAATTTTGTGATTTAAACCTTATAATTCCTGAGATGAATCAAATGGTGACATTTAGGGATTAAAGATAATGCTTACTTACCCGGTGCATAATCTACTTCCAACTCTCCTTCAGCTAGGCAGTAATTTTTAATATTCCATATTTTTACTGTACCGTCAACATCTCCAGTTGCCAAATACTCGTCATTGGAATCTATTGTCATAATGATACTGCTAGCTTTTTGAGTAATATGGAAGATTATAAAAGTGCATAGTTGAACTTCATTGCTTTAATTGTGTATAGGCTTATAGTGAAATAGTTTTCCATTAATGATAGTGAAGTTATTTAAGATTAACATATTTATAATTGCAAACACTGGTATTATTTGTGCTGCGCGTTCCACCAACGGCAGTAGTTAGTAATATTAATAACTTACATTTCATTATGATTTGCAGCTAAATTATCAATTTCCTAGCCAGTTTACCTAGGACATTAGAGAACTCGTAAGTCAGTTACCAATTTTAAAAATCCTACGACCAGCTCATTAGATGTACCTTATTAGCGCACAGGTAAGTGAAAGAGATGTAGGTCTGAATACTAGCCTAAGGGAGTTTCTCAGGTAGAACTCTGGAAGTCTAGTCATATATAAAATTGAGAAAAAGCATGAAATCCAAAGATGATTATTATCAACAGTCCTGACAATATAATTCTGTTCTCATCACTTCTTGAAATATCATGACAGGAACTGTTGCCTCTGATGTAGACTTGGTAGTTATACTCAGTATTGTTGAGGAGTCCTATACTAGGACGGAACAGCTGTCCATCGCTTCCAGGTTTTATGTGGTTTTCCAACTGATGTCTATCCACGATGACCACTACCTTGAAATATTAGCCTACTTTATTTGATGCAACACAAAGTTGCACAATAATTTTTACTAGATAGCGTTTTGAGCACAAACTACTGCTCACAATCATATCAAACTGTGCCACTGTATGCTACATCAAACAAACTAATCCAATATGGAATCACACTCCTTCATGGTGCCCAAGTTTTTCAAATCAATTCAGCAGTTCATTTTGCCTCCGTCACACGTGACCTTGATTGGTGTTCTGCGTTTCCTTGAAATCAAATAACTGAAAAACAATTACGGTTTGTAAAACAATTTTTCTCTAATTGACGGGCATAAGTGATGGAAAACTAACTTTTCCAATAATATTATCTTACCTTATAAGAAAATCGGAAAACCTAAGAGAAAACTGCTCAAACCAACAATAATCTAAGCTTACTAATTACATAAATCGGTTAACCATTATCTTGTGGCAGCTGTAGGAATGTGTGATAGTTCTTTAGACGATGAAAACAATGACTATGAAACAAGGATAATACCAGTTACGGCGAAGGCTATGAATGATTTCACGTTGCAGTCAACAGAAATGAACCACTGTACTTCTTGAAGGGATAATTCCTTTGTCATCCTGTTTAAATATTTTCTCTCTGTAAATTATCTCCCAAGTGTCTTATCTAAGTTATGTTTGCAAATATTCATGAGTCCATCAGTTATATAAACAGAATATAGTTAGTCAGTTAGCCAGCAGTCCTGCATTCTGAAATTTATTTCTTTGGGCCATGGGGACAATCCACACTGAAATGCTACACCTAAATAGCTATGAAGGTTGTAAGTAGTTATCGAATTCAGAAACCTAAGGTTGGTATTGAAGTCAATCAAATATCAAAGTGACACGTTCTCCTGCAAAACTGTTTATATGGCATTTGAGGACTCAGTATCCTTATGTGGATAAATGATCACTAACACTATGCAAGAGCTGCATGAGAGTAAAACTTTGCCACTGTGGTGGAATAATATTTTTATTCCATATCACCACATACAGTCAATCAGTCGGTCAGTATCAACATAGGACCTGGCACTATTGCGCAATAGTTCAAGTTGCTAGACCTCAGATCGGTGCATCAAGATAGAAGACTCCAAGACGAATAAGAGAGAACATTAAGGAAGGAAATAACCAAAAGTAGTCAAATGTTGAACAAAGAGAGAGATGGGATACAAAATAATGAGATTTGATATGACAAATATGGTGAAAATAATGTATAGATTTATTTATTTATTTATTGAGATCGATTCTGAAGTATACCACTGATTTTGATTGCTACATGCATAACAACCAGGAGGTTTACAGTCTCCTACATAGCTTAGACCAACAACCAGATTTCATTCGCTTACGCCACACCACGCTTCAGCATAAACCTACTTAAGCTAACAACAATGTGCAACGGGGTAAATAGTGACTAGGCACCTGCGACAGATACCGAAGTCACCTGAGTTGATGAAGGTTAATAACCTCATCAACCAACTCTCCTCGTTTATCTAGAGCTCAATGCCTGACTTCTACATTATTGACGTCGTGGTGCCACGACACACGTCATATGCTTTGAAGACCACTACAGACAAATACCTGAAGCCTCCTTGTGTCTTCCACTTTCAACAGTTATGTTTCATAGCCAAATACTGTGGCAGAGCGAACTGCAGTGCAGTAGGTTCGACCCTTAACGAACAACCAGGTATTTTAGCGAGAGTACAAACGGTGTAAGGTGGCGACGGTCAAGCTAGTATTTCGCATCAGCGCAGAATTTTTTTCGGTCGTTGACCAATCGGGGATAATCCAAATAAGAGCTAGGTCGGATAAGCAAATGTCACATGGAACATATGGTTTGCAGTTTTGAGTAACAGAATACATTAGGAATATATCACGGGACTGGGTTAGTGGCAAAAAGGAACTTAAATGCCAAAAATAATCAAAAGGCAATGGAAAACAGAAAAAATCAAAGTAAAACCTCACATATATGAGCATCAGTTCGGGTTGCCACACTTCACAGTACCACAAAAAAAATAGGTGGATAGAAAAAGAATGATACCAAAGTAGACAAAAAGTGTATTGGAGGAGAAACAATTTGAAAATCAAGGTTATCGAAAATAATCAAGCTTTAGAAGATGTCAATGAGTGAGTACACCTACGATATCGTGACCTATTTTCAGCCACTTCACCGAGAGGCATTAACGATTGATTCCTATGATCTTGACGACACAGCCAGGCAGTCTACACCTAGCTACACAGATCAGACCATTAGTAAGAGACTTCATGGACTGGTGCCACCTCTTTATCTGATCATTATGAGCTTTCTTCCAGCTTATTCCAACTTCTACTAGCATTACTCGTCGAGGTAAATGGTGATTCGGCATGCGCAACACAAATTCAATTCATCTCACTCACTGAAGATTCACAATCTTATCGACCAGCTTCTCTAGTACTCATCTGCCTAACGTTGACACTGCTCACACCGTGATTCCGTCATATATGAGTAATGTTAGGAAGACACCTGCCCCAGTTTTTCTGTTTCATCCTAATGAACAGTTGAATCGACCATATAGCCAGTTACTGTATCTTTTTAAGATTAGTTAGATAGGAAATACTCATTACTAGTAAAAAAAGGTTTTATTGCAGTTTTTGCTTGCTGGTCTTTAAAAATCAACAGCAATAACTTCAAGAGGAACGTGACCCTTCACAGTATCTTACGGGTAGCTACAAATTTTCTCCATCATTTAAAAACTTCATTTTTCGACTCATTCTAAATGCCTGCTTTAGATATGAAGTACACCAATTTAACAGAAAAAAACTTCTGTACATATACATAAGAATTAAGTTACCATTTTCATGAGCTAGAAATTCACCCACTAAACTACAAGAATATGCATTCCAAAATCGTACAATTCCATTTCCACCACAGGAAACAAGATTTGCACCTTTGTGACTACCAGATCCAATATGTTTACGTGTTGATAGTAAAATAAGATGTGAAATACTGTACATAAAATCCGGTGACTTGTATTCACGACGAAAAAATTGGAGAAAACAATAGAAAAATATAAGGAAGGGGAACAAACTAGTTAACCAATAGTTTTATTAGAAACTCTGAAAAAGTTCCAGGCTAGTTAACTTGACATTTAAATTAATTCCTTTTTGTTTACGTTAACTGTTTGTTCACTTCTGAACCTTGGCTAGTTTCCAAAACCATAATACAGTGCGGAAAGTGCTCTTACCAATTTAAAATCAGGTTTGAGATAATTAGTCAATTTCATAGCCTTTTTTCATCACCAGGAGTTGTAGTTTTTCAGTTGGACAGAGTACTGGGTATCGGAAAACTTAAAAAGCTCAAATAAATGTTACCGCATCATAAATTGATTTAATTATTGGATATCACTCATAAGAATGTGGTTCAGATTGCCACGCAAACTATTGGTTGTGTAAAGTTGCAGCATGGTATTCTAAAAAGGTTTCATCCATTTAGGACAACATCACTTCCCAGTTGCATTATTCATAAGTACTCTTCTGCATTACTAAATAGTCAACATTATTTTGCACAAAATTACCTGGTGCTTAGGTTGAGCGTTTTGAAGAATTTATGGTTTACTTGATAGAAATAATTACAGGTTTTCGTGTTTTTCCGGTTCTTAGAGAATTTGGAAAGGTGATAAGGTAAACGTGCATCAATGCAACATCAAGCTAATATAACCAAAACTATTTAACATTTTCAGCATCAAATACCGGCTAAATTGTTTAAAAGTGAGAAGTGAAAAATACTTTCAACAAATATTCCTTTTTAGTTGATGAGATGAACACGAATTAGCAGACTGGTATTAATATGACTGAGTAACGATTGAAAATGAAGAGCGTGATCTACAACAGCATTCGAACCGAAAATAGACTATTGAGAGCTCTACATCGCTGATTATAACCTCTTCTTGTAGAAATCTGGCTCACTGGCTTAGGCAATTGACTTTATGCAGTGTCACAGATTCGAGCACTGTTCTACTCACTGAGGTTTAGGAAGCTAGATAGTGTTGTTAACCAACATACAACGGGCGTGTTTCATTGCCTACTACACAAACGTGATCAAAACTGCTAACTTTCCATATCTCTTCATCTTCAGAAGAATTCATCAAGTAAATTTTACTTTGCATCATTATTGGATCACTCGAATATCTGACATCTATATAAGTGAATACTTGTTAAAAATGATTGGCATAATGAGACGCTATTCAGATAATTTGCTTGCCTTTATACTAGAAATCCTGAGGGTTACAGCATTTGTTGCGGTATTCTGTATTATTCGTAACTGTAACTCTCAATCGATTTTGTCGAATATTTACAAGGAAAGACAATAACTAGCAAATTGTTAGAGTAAATATAACTTTAGTAGAATTAGGAAGCATAAGTATAACACTTCAGTTATTAAAAAAATTGTATATGTTTGCAGGTAGAATTGGCATTTTCAACTCTAATCAATAAATTATCCTTTATGAGGTGTATATGAGAAGAATGCTACTCAAAAAGTAGAAATATACAATCTAATGAAGAATCATAACTAGTGGTAACATCGTGTAAATCAATTCCTTCTGTAAGTGAACTTAGGCTGAATATAAACTGACATTCATGAACATTGAAAGTGCGTTTCATTTACATATAAAAGAGGTATACCAAGTATTTTCACTCAGTAAAAACAAACATGAATTGATCTTGGGCTGTTCGTTATAAACGTCACGCAGCGAAATAACATTTACCGGATAGCGTTTGGGATATAATTTACTGTCCATATTCATATCAGGTAACTCCACAACTTTGAGACAGTTTATATAGTTCTAATTCCCTCTCCGTCTTATAGATAAAGGTAGTAGAATTTCCCAAATGTCTGGGATAGATGCAGAATCATTTCGAATGACTCGATTTTTGTTGGTAGATAAGCTCTAACTGCTAACTGATAGGACATAAATTTGCGACAAGAAATTAGATAAATCAAAAATAATTTGTGTATCAATGATTACCCATCTAAAATTATCAATCAATTCATAAATCAAAAAAAAATATGAGCAGTATTAGTAATATAGGTGTTACTGATAACTCTACTACTACTAATAATAATAGTGATAATAACGATGATGGTGATGATAGTAATGATGGTAACAGGATGGAGACAGAAGTAAAGCCTCTACTATGTTACCGCACAAAGAAGGCACCTTCAAAGTGTTACGAAGAATTCTTGACAGAGCTGAGATTACAGTAGCATTTAGATCTAAAAACGCATTCAGGAGTATGTTTTGTACACTAACAGATCCCAATGGTTTAGTTCGGCAAGATAATTTAGCTTCCCAAACCCCATGCAAAAACTGAAGAGTGTCGGTCACGGTCAATTGTGCTATCCAAGCACAAAATCCTAACTAAATCAAGCTTGATAGATCTTAATAAGATAAAGAATCTAGAAAGTAGCTCTCCAATAGCTATGGATGCAAATACATACAAACACACAATAGGATGGGAGAAAGTGACAATCCTTAAAACTAACTAAGAGGAGTGAAAGGAAGAGATTGATAACCGAATCTTTGCTTATTAACACCTAGTACATTTAATAGAAATGATTCTCGACCTGTTCCAGACATTTAGAAAATTCTACTACCTTTATCTATAAGATGGAGAGAGAATTAGAACTGTATAAACTCTGTCTGGAAGTTGCGGAGTTACCTGATATGAGTAAGGACAATAAATTATGTTCGAAATGTTCGTTATCCAGTTATTATTATTATTATTATTTGGTCAACAGACTAAAATGGAACTATATTCTATAACGAAGTCTTATTTCTATTTTAAGCTTGAATTCAGCGTAATTCCTGCCAACATATGCTGTTCAAAGTTCTGTGTATAATTACAATTTACTTTACGCACTGAACATTGAACAAGTAGTTACATAAAGCACATATTACTCAATATGTAAAGATTAATCTGGGTTTATTTAAGATAAAACATATTTTGCATGGTGAAACAATTTCGAATTACCTCAACGAGAAGTTTCTCACAGCGTCTTGTCATCCGTCTAGCAGCTAACTCAGAATTTGTATTCCATACAATTATTTCACCGTCGTATGATCCAGTAATCAAGCCATTTGGGGTAATGCCGTCCCACTGAGAACATCATCTGAGTGTTCCTTGTTAGTTAATGTAACATATAAGAGTATCAGAGTTTTAATATGCAATAAAACTTGAAACGATTACCTCGGTAATTTATTCAACGCTAAGTGGTTTGTCTATTTGGAATTCCTATAGGAGTAACTCTTGAACAGGTCAAATGAATTACAACTTCAGTTGATGATCATAACTTATAACTTATAGTTGAACTAGGACGAAGTATAAAACTTTTTGGCTGCTTTTGGAACACTAAATTGATGCAATTTAATCCAGTAAAATTACAATATTTTGAACCAACTTCTCCACTTGAAAAAAAATTAATCTAGCCTAGGGTACGTGGATATGAGATTATCTTCCTTGACACTGAAAAGTGATGAACTGTGGCTGTTTGTTTCAAAGCCTGTTCGGCTATTGCGCAATAATGAATAACGATCCACTCTTTAAAATTCGATTCGGTATTACCACTTCAGGTTTGCTAAATTTAAATATTCCTAGTATAAAGCACTATGTTTCAAATCTGTGCTGCTAGTAATAATGTTTGTGTTTTCTAAAACAATGAATGATAAACTTACTGGACCACCTTTCCATTCAGATGGATAAACATAATGATCACGAAAATTAGTTGTCCGGAATACAGTGAAATGATTTGAATTACCCAATACAATGATTGCACGTTTAAGGATAACAATTTGACCGATTTCACCGTGTGCACCACCATAACAAATTAATGTATGATAACAGTAACCGTTCATATCCCATATCTAAATGTTATCGTATAAGGTAAATGGTTAAATGATTCTCAAAAGAAAAAAAACGAAAGAACAATCCTCTCAACCAATGTATAGGATCAATGATTTGACAAAAAATATGGAGAGATAGTGGGGCTTAGAAACAATACATAGTTGTTCCCTTCTTACTTGTGACTGCTTCGTCAACTGTTACTGAAAGGAAGAAATAATGTTTAGGTTTGGCTGAAAACTAGAATTCCTGAATGAAAGTTCATTCGAGCGCCTAAGTTTGTCCTTCACTAGACATTTTTAAACTTGATAACTAAACCAACAATATACATATGCACATGGGTCATCATAAGTTTTAAAATCGTACAGAAAAGAATGATTAAACAAAACGAAGAGTTTAAAGCAAAAAAATTCAAGATGTTCAGTCTAATCAAATACAATGGTTGCGACATTTCTTAACAGTAGTTTCATTGTCATTTCAATGATTGAAATACAGTATACAGCCATGAGACTATTGACTGTTCAATAAATTTCTTGACTCAGGTGCTTGGGCTAATAAAAATTAATGTTCATACACTGTCTCCCTCAACAGTGGCTTACTTAAACCTCGGGCTACGGAACAATTTCCACACAATATATTCCATCAAATTGTTCCCTTTTTCTTTATTTCAATCTTTTCAGTATTATGCACTCTCCTCCTATTTCAAGGTGTTTTCTACCAACCGTTTTTGAAGATAACAATAACTCAAAGAAAAAACCTTAAACTGAATGAAAACGAACTTTTAGATGTGCAAAAATACAAGACATTACTATTCCCAGGATAATTATATGGAACTGCAGATTTTTGTACTGGTTGGACAAACTATCACCACCAAAAGTATGCTCGATTTCCCGTTCGTTACAGTTTGCAGACTAAAAGCTAATCTAACACTTATTCATAAGAGATTCTATCACACCAAAAACATGTTAGTTTTAAAACAAAGAGGCGTTACCGTCATGGTGTAAATAGCTACATTATGATGGAAGTTCGAGAATGAAGTCGTACTGCTGGCTGCCTAGAGTGTGACACCGGTAATGTGCTCCCTGCATATGACCATCAATGCCACGCTGCTGCCTCTCTTTCCATGGGAAGCAGAAGTTAGAAAGGTCGATCCCAAAAGTAGTACACTCCTGCCTGCCCTTATGGTGGCGGAGACATGGGTTTCTTAGTTGGATTTACGACAAAGTTAAATGACAAACTTCTAAAAGACCTTACGTGTCTGGCCTTAAAGAGATATCCAGATGTGAGCTTTGCGATCACACACAACTGTTACGAATCCAGTTTTGTCTCCAGGTACTTCAAGGGGAAGTAACCTTCTACGGTATTGACATCCAGGAAGTGTGAACCGCCCCTATAACTCCGTCAGCAAGCAAATTCTTTCAAAAGTAAAAAAAATGAATTTTCTTTCTCAATTTCCACTAGATTTGGCGATAGCTATCCTTATCTATTGATGACAAAAATATTAAGCTTTGTGTTGGACGAAAGAATAAAGTTGAACAAAGATCAATTACTCTCAATAGTCTAGAAATCCTTTCCGATTATTACCCATTTCTTAGGTAATGAGATCAATGAGATGATCAATATTTCAATTACATTTTTTATAACTACTGGCAAAAGTATTTAAGAAACTTAACATGTTTCGTTTAATATCACCTTCATTATTCTTACAAATAGCATGTCTTAGTTTAATGTGATATTGGTAGTAGAGAAATGTACCATATTGAAATACAGAATCTCGGATAGTATATTATTATATTACGTCCTGTCACAAGTAACTCAGTGTTTCGGAAAAATTTAGTTTAAAATTCATTATGTTAGCAATAGAATAGATGTTACCATAAAGACGAATACAGGTAAGAGATTAACACTTCAAAACTTTCGAATTCCGATTCACCTACCTATATCAAATAAATTTATTCTAATTAGAAGTAGAGTGTTATTCGTGTTGTAAATATGTTGTATTTTACCCCGATATGACTCAGAGTAAAAAGTATGTGTGACATAATAGCATTTCTGAACAGTTATTCTTCTATTGAAGATATTATTACAAGTAAATATTCAGTGCCTTTTCATGATACTGAGCTACAAGAACTTCACTGAACTACTAACCATATGCTATCTCCTGTTTATGAAGGCACTCGCTATAACTATAATCTACCAATGATCACACAGCATAACCATAAATAAATTGGAAATGGTGTGTATCATTCGATATTGTTACATTCTGTGATTTGGATTGCCTCAGGATGAATAACTTCAATCTGGTGTTATTGTCGACTAAGTACTGGTGAAAATAAGCTGCTTAGTCGCTCCTTAAAAGCCCAAAAACTATGCAATTTTCGAACTTCCTTCGACAGGATGTCAAACGTTCAGGCTTGTGTGTGCAGATAAGAAACTAATGATAGATAGACTGCAGTCAGCCCTGAGTGCATAGGGCTCGACAGCTACATCTATGCTCAGCTCGCATAGGTATATATTTTTATATACTTTTAAGAGATCAGTCATCACCTGAATATTTTATTGGTTAAGTTTTTAACCGAAGTAACATCAGTTCATTCAACGTTATAGATATCCTTTCCTGTTGAGTGCCAACAAGTATGAAACTAGTACTCGAGAAACCATACCAATCGAATACTTGCACCTAACTAACACCGAAATGATAAACTCAAATAGCAAAAGCCTGGTTTTAAATAGGGCTTCTTTCTTGGTCGGAGTCAATTCATAATATAAGGTAACTCATTAACTTCAAGAATTCCAACGACTGTAAAGGCACATCTATTATTTATTGCATAAATTGTTTTCTGATTAATTGGACATTATCAAGTAATATAGAATAACTTTCATTAGTTAACTTCAAAACTCGTTTGCATACCTTAATTGTACCATCTGTACTTCCAGTGTAGAATTTCGTTTCTGTTGGATCTTGTACTAAGCATGTTAATTCGCTTTCACCATGACTACGGGAAATATTTTTAACTCGTTTCCCTGTTTCAATTAACCAAAATGATATTGCACCATTCTGAGATGCTGTTACAATCTAAGAATATAAATTAAATCAAAATGACAATTTTCAATTGAGAAGGTTTAAAGTAATAGTATAGTTATAAGAAACTTTATTTTCACTGATATGTTCATTCACAACTGAAATAATTACACCATCTAACGAAGTTTTTAATTTAGGATGACAGTTATCCTTCAAAGTATATACAATGATGAGAAATGTATCATGAGGTTTGATTAATTCAAAGGCATTGCTCACTATGTATATGTAAAGATTACAAAAACGATTACCAGTAAGGGAAATACTTATGAGTGCTGAGTGCATCCATATTTGAATCTATCCCATTCGAACCTATATGCCATGAATTCACTTTGAACTGAGTACCGGGATTATTATACCTGGTAATGCAGAACTTTTTTAATTTTTATAAGCAGAAATGTGTAATTAAGAAGAAGAATGAATCAATTCTATTCAATTGGAAGAATTTTTATGTGTTAGGGTAACACGAATTATTTGACTGAATAATCACAGATTCCAGTACGGAATGTTGACCATAAAGTTTTTAGTTTACTGCTTTTTCTTCCTAAAGAGGTGAATCCGACCGATGTTGAATGGATAAAGCGCCGGAATATAAACCAACCATCTGACTTACAGTGAAATATAATACTGAACAACTTGAGTAGTTAGAAACCATACAGGCTGATCTGTAAATGTCACCAGTGAGGTCATCAGAGTGATCCTAATACCGGATGGCGGTGTCACTCCTTTGGAGCTGAGCCAGCCCATGAGTGGTGTACGCAGACGAATTGAGTTCGTACGGCCGAATTAGTTCAGATCACCTTAATTTGGCTAGCTGACTTGCATGAATCGGTACACCTCAAATAGAATGACCACTTTGTAAATGATTAACAAATTGCATGGTCTACGTTGACGTTTCTCACAGCTGAGTTTTTCGATTGCTCATAGCTTTACGAACGTTTAATCGTACAGCTAAGATATGGTGGCGATATGTGGATGACATAATTACTGTGTTGAAATTGGAACATATCCACAACTTCCTCATACATAAACTCAGTAGTGGGCGTAATCTAATTCACTTACGAGGTAGAAAATGAACAAGAAGAATTGCTAATGTTGAATTGCAGAGTAAAACGAAGAACAGGCGGTGGTTTAGATACTACCGTCTACAGGAAACCAAAACATTCTGGCAGGTATCTAGACGTCAAGTCGTCTAAATCCATGCCGGTTATGGGAGGTTTAATCAAATGTCTAAATAATTGAGCTAGAGAACTCACTAGTCAATGATAAGACTTACACAATGAATTGAAGGATAAAGGCAACGTGAATAACTAACAGTTATCCTCCACAGTTTATTGAGAAATCCATATGAACACATAAGAAACGAAATAATAACATTAAGACCAACACGAAAAATAGCGACAACACAAGTAGAAAGGAGTTCAAAGCCTCTATTGTGTTATATAAGGATGGAACACTAGAAACCCTACGTAGGATTCTCAACAAGGCTCGAATTAGGGTGGCATTTAAACCGACAAACTCCATTCAGAGATAAGCTTTATTGGTTTAAGGATCCGATAAAAACGATTAAGCAAAATAATCCAAGCTACCAAATTCCATGCAATGATTGCGACGTCAGCCTAGCCAATCAAGGTCAGTTAGATTATTAGATCATAGCAATTTAGCCAAGTATAGAATGACAGACCTCAATAGGATCAGTAATCTAAAAGAAAATTCGGTTATTGCAGTAGATACATTACCACACGACCACACATTAGGGTGGGATAAAACCACTGTACTTAAGTGCAATATAATTAGATGAAGAGTGAGACTGACTACTGAATCTTTGTTTATCCAATTACCACCAAACACACGTATTCAGAGTAATGTCATACATATACCAGAAAGTCGGAAAACTTTACTACCGCTAAAATCAAAGAATGTGAAGTGATAAGGACTATAAAAATCAGATGTCGGATGTTGTGTGATTACATTGATTTGATTATGAGCAATAATTTATGCTCAGAACATCATCCAGTAAATGATAGTGTATCACTATGTACTGTATCAGATTTAAAAAAACCTACTACAGAATCTTATTATATTTATAAGTCACAAGGATTTTATAATTTATTTCAAATTTGATGAGACCTGCCCTTGCACTAATCTCACATATTCCGGTTCGACTAAATATACTTATTCTATGCTTTACCACTGTTTATTCGATGTCTAATTCACTTGAAAATAATGCATCAAAGGAATAACAAATGTTATAATTCTAGCTTTTCAGAAATCGGTTCTCAGGGTAGTATAACCATACTGCATAACAATGTTTACTCCATAAGTCTCATGTTGAACAAGAAGAAGAAGTCTCATTTACCAAAAGGTGTATGCGATGAAAACATTCTTTTACTGAGGAGTTTCAGCAAATAAACTAACTAAGCATGCCAACAAACAGAAAGAAACAAAGTAATTGGACAATTTCAACTTTCTACACCTTAATATAGAGAATATCAAGTAGAAATCAAAAGTTCAGGCAAAGGATTAAAAATAATAGTAAGATAAGTGATAAATCTGCACTGATTTGATCATTTCACCAAAATGCAAAAGCTTGTACAATTGCGTCAAAGTATCTTAATAAAATCCTAACTACTGTTAACAACATAGATCAATAAAGCAGACTCATAACTTATTTTTAATGAAGAATAACTGTAAGAAACAAATTAAAGACATCTGTCAAACCTACTTGATTAAATGTTGGATTATAAATGACACCAACCAATGCTTCCTCATGACTTAAAACACGATCATTTACTTTGATACGCATTTCCATAACTGTTAAATTATGATTAAAGCTTAGGAATAAACGTAATCTGTCTTCGTGAAAGAACATACGTGTTGTAACTGGTAACAGAAGGTAAAACAAGATGGAAAGCAGTAAAAAAGCACTCATCAGACTGCTAGTTGTGAATTTACATTTGGAGCTGCTTTAATGGTAAAAGTAAAAACTCAGATTAACTCTTTAGAATATGTAGCGAAACTGCTTTGCGCTAAATGATTCAATCCGCTGAACTTTAACCGCTTATGAATTACGAAGTCAAATAACGGTTCAGATTTCACAGTGTGCCAAAAAGGAAACAAGGATTCGTGTATCCAGTGATGAAATTAACTGAAGATGAGATAGATGTTACAGTTGACAAAATAAATATTATGCTTAAGGCTGCTGAACCCTAGCTCCCCAACGTCTTCGCAACGACTGTGAATGGAAAGAACCTCAAGAACCTTTTGATGTCTACAGGATCTGTGATAGCTGCAGAAGTTGCTGCAATGTCTACAGCTGGAGCAGCAGGCGATGATGGTACTAAGAAGGCAAGAGAACCCAGATGACGACTCAAAAAAATATCGGGTTTTACTAGGCTCATCCTGTTACTAAAGCTTTTACTAGTTATTAACGAGAAAATGAAAGGCATATGAATGTATCTAAAATATAGGTACTATTATGTAGAAAATACTGGGTAACAAATGGAGTGGTGGTGATTAAACGCAGAGTCGTAAGGTCAGCCAAGCTTATAGAGCAGCTGATGGAAGACCTATTGGTAGTATGATTAGTAACAAGTTTCGAGATTTCGAGAACCGCTGTGAATTGTTTAGGTTCCTTCTTCGTTGGGCGAGGACATTCTCCTTGGAGGACAATCGGCATGATATACTTTGAAGCGGCCCCCACACTTCCTACTAATTTCTTCTTGATGGTACTTTGAAGATGTAATAGTGGTAAAGTAACTCCGAAAAATATGTACTTTGACAGAGGTACGAATTTTGTTGGAGTGGATCGCGAATTTTGCCGAGTTATGACAGATTCTGAATGCTATCATATTGCGAAGAACATTACATAGCGTGACGTAAAATGAAGCTAGTCATCACTAGAGAGTGTAGGAGAGATTAATCAAAAAATACATGGACTACTAAAAGCAGTCACAAAAGAGCAAGTTCCTCTAGACAAAGCATCAGTGATTTATATAAGTAGGAAGGCTACTTGACAGGCGACAGTTTTATACCTGTTTGCGATGACATTGATGAACTGTGCAAGCGTATTACCGGCCATATTCTGCTGGTGGGAAAGTCAGGCTATGATCCAAAAGTCGAAACAAACTTAGGTGAACGTTGGCGGCGAGATTACGTTTTGGAGTCTATGTCTAATATAATCGAAACGTGTACCGAGTACAAAAGCGTAGAATGCATTTGTTTTAGCTTTCAGCTTCATATTACTGACTAGTATTAAGCAGCATAATTTGTTTTTTCACAAGTCTATTTCTTCACTAATTTAATTGTTTGCTTCTGTTAAAAGCGTATTTTGCATTTTGAGGTAGTTGTGGAGATTTGGAAATATTTCAAAGTTGTTATTCATCGTAGACTGACATCAGTTGGAGGAACAAAGGAAACTTGGGAGCACTGGACAGCTGTCTCATCCTAGTTGGGACTCCTCAGCAGTGCGCACCCACGACGTTCAGGTTCCGCGGCCAGCGCGTTACCATCGAGCCACTGGGTCAGAATTCCATGGCCCATATTTCCAACTTCTGTTAGCTCATGATTTAGCGCAACCATCACCGGTCACAACTTCAAGCCTGATGGTCGTGAGGTCAGTTACTCAACAATGACATTGGATGGCGGTTGCGCTATATCGTGAGCTAACAGAAGTTGGAAATATGGACCATGGAATACTGACCCAGTGGCTCGATGGTAACGCGCTGGCCGCGGAACCTGAACGTCGTGGGTGCGCACTGCTGAGGAGTCCCAACTAGGACGAAACAGCTGTCCAGTGCTCCCAAGTTTCCTTTGTTCCTCCAACTGATGTCAGTCTACGATGAATAACAACTTTGAAATATTCACAAATCTCCACAACTACCTTAAAATACAAAATACGCTTTTAACAGAAGCAAACAATTAAATTAGTGAAGAAATAGACCTGTGAAGAAACAAGTTATGCTACTTAATTGAACATAACTTGTTCACTAACCACTCAATTGGCATGATGTGCACTGCAAAATCTAAACTTCCGTATATATAAACTAGTCTTAATCACAACACCATTGTAATCGAATCAGTATACTCAGTTTATGAATAAGAAAAGTAAAATGATTTTACCCATGAATGAAGGGTTTTTGAAATGATGAATTTGTTGGTCTAATACTATCCCAGAATGTGTATAAACTATGGGACAATGTTGTGTAATGCTAGTCAATAATAAATTTTAATAAAGGCAAACCAACAAAAATTTTAAAATTGTTTCCTTTAGATTCGTATAACGCCACTTTCATTCTGTGATATTTTAGCAATTCAGCCATTTCTACCTTCTACAATTCATTCAATGTAAAATGATGTTAAAGTTGAGATACTAACCCACTTTTGAATATTTTCATATAGTTCAATGTTCAACATCATCTGAGTCGACTATTAAAATAAATAAGCAAACTGAACAAAAATGTGTAGCAAAATGCAAATGAAAACGCAACGGAAACTCAAGACATAACATTAATTATTACTTTGCTTCTTTAGTGAAACTAATTCATCTGAAAATAAGAATTGTGAGAAATTTATTCATGGAAACAGAATCATGTTGCTTAAATTAATACCTGTAAACACTGCTAGATATATACGCATGCATGCCTCAAGGCTTTTCAACCTGACTTCTATTGGATTCGAAACAGATTAAAAATGTTGGAGATGAGTTAGTTACTTTATGACCTTTTTAAGCAGAAAAATATTGTAGCACTAGCTAAATCTCCATTCACTCCTACAGTAAATTGATGGCTTGAGAATAATTTCAACTCATAAGAGGATTGACTAATGATTTTGAAGATCAGATGAATTTATTAGTTCGAAGTGTTATAACTGTTCATTGTTCCTTAGATGTGTAATGAGTTTTGATATATTAATCTTAGATACTGAGAGTCTATATGTAGAAAGCTCTGGATCACAATTTCGCGCACTCATCAAAAGAGTGTATCCGTGATAATGCTGGGGAAACTGTTGTTCAAATATGTGTCGCTCAACGTGGAAGTAAGAGGCCATCTGTAGGATTTGGTCACCTATATGAATCAGTCACCAGTAGATGACAACAACATTTAACTATTGTTAAGCTCAATAATCATGAAAGCAAATTAATTTGTAGTTCTTTGCGTCAAGTATGAAGGTATACAGCAATCAGTCAAGGTCGTTCAAGTTATCACAGAGTGATCAAAGTATTCAACAGCTTCAGTACCCATAAAAACAGTCTTTGTATTATAGAACGTGTTTAATTTGTAGTCATGTGTATTTGTGTTCAAGCGTTGCATAAAAAATACATTGAAATGATTTCCTTTTTTTCATGTTGAGATGATTACAACAATGCAAGGTTCGCAAAGTCCTAATAATTGTAAATTACATAAGCTTGATCAATGGAAAGTATATAGGTGTTGACTAGCCCAGTTTAAATCCCAAACATAAAATTGACCGACAAATAAAAGTTATAGTCTGATAGATGTTTATCCGAAAACCTAACCCCTCCTAGTTATTGATTCAGAGTAATTTACAGTGTTTGTTTTCCCCACGCTTCCAAATGTCTTCGACTACGTCATCTAGGTATAGCTAAATCATTGGGAGCTTACAACCTTAAATCTGATCAAAAGTAATATCTACACTACTGATGAGTCGTACCACAGCCAAAGTAGTAATTTTCTTGTTTTTCGGAAGCTTTCAATCCTACTCTGGAAGATTATGGCAACCATGTGTTCTTATCGGTTAACGAAAGACTGTTATATGCTTCCAGTGATTTTAAATACTATTGTATAGCTTACGTAAATGAAATTGTTGGAAAGAAAATTTACGGGGCTGTTATGCGTTTGATTTATTACTTAATCTACTGCTGATAACTTTAAAGAAAATAAGTTATGATACAGGTTAGTGGTTAAAAGTGGACTGAAAACTGAAGTTGTGACAAGATTCCAACTGACAGCTGGATCACCCGTATTTTGGTCGCTTAAGCGCCAGGTTACGAACATTAACACAGCAGTTTTGAATCCAATCACGTCCTAGCTCTCTAATTTACAAGTAGCTATCACTGCATAGTAAAGATGGATAGTGGCTAGCAGTGAGATCCAGGATGCGGATTTCGTCGTGCCTGGGATCTACCTGCCTCCCAGTGAGTGTCATCCCCACAGGGACTCAAGCCCAGGGCCAACAGCTTCAAACGCCACAGTGTTACCCGCTAGACCATCCAGCCACGGTAGCCGCCTCTTGTGCGACGGGTATACTTTTAAATAATCCAAGCGATTATACGATTACTGCATACTTTAAGTAGCAGTCTGCCGAACCCCGTTAGTCTCAGATAGTTTCGCTAATAAGACAAATTCTGTCATTGAATATTTTAATCCAACAGTATTGAAGTGAAATATCTCTCTAGTAGAATGGAAGACTGCAGTTGACCAGAGAAAAGGAAGTTGAATTTTCCGAATGAATTATGTAGTCAAATTACCAGTTATCAGGAAATTCATCGAAATAGCTGGATTTGGATAAGAAATTATCAAGCTTTTCGAATTTACTTTTGCAATAATGTATCAGTAATTCTACTACATAAATAAATAGGATTAGTATAGTACCCAGAAACAAACTATACTGGTTTAAGTTATTGTAATCAGTACCATTAGAGAGAGGAAGAGAGAAATTTTCAGAAATATACAAAATTGAAGCACAGAAATGGAAGAAAGAAAGAAATGGTATCGAAGTATTCAAGAAATTCAGTATAAAAATGAGTGAATATGTTGGAATTCAACTGAGAGCCATTTTACTTAAGGTTTTTAACAAGAGACCTTTAGAAATTGTTTCGCCTCAGCCGGTTAGCTTACACATGATTTCTTCATATTCTAGTTCTTGTTTTCTTCAGAATAGTTTCAATTCATCTTTTCTCTTTCAATCTCCAGCTTTAAAAATGCATCTTTTTGCAAAGTTCTTCAATTTTAAAAACTTGTTCTATTTTTAGGTGAAATAGATAAGATCAAATTCAGTCTTGACCGCAATATTCACTTCTTAAAGTATAAATCACAAATGTTCAAATTCTTAGGTTATTACATACATGTCGGCCTAAAAGACAGAGAGTCATACAGAAAATACGCATCATCATCACTATCAACATAGGACCAAGCATTACTGCGTAACGGTCTAAGTTGCCACACTTCATATCAGCACACCAAGTAAGTGAGGCAAGAAAATGGAAAATGAAGAAAAGAAAAATCGGTCAAGATACGTAGAAGTAATAAAAGGAGAGAAGCAGGAGATGATGAGATTAAGTACAGCGGTTAGGATGAGGATAATATGTGTATGCACCTGGATCACTGATATCGGTTCTGAGCCTTATCACCTAGTCTCCAACCACTGGTTCCTCTTGTACCGCGACCTTCAGTCGATTTGTCTTGTATCACTTTACATGGCTCAAACCAACGGCCAAGGATTTTATGCCATGATGACATGTTTTAGTCTGACCACCCCGTGCCTTCTTTCAGCCTGAACCTAATTCATCTAACATTTTACGATGAGGCAGACAATGACTAGGTACACTCGCATTGATACCTGAAGAACCTGGGTTCGACTCTTCGAGGATCGTAGGAACCGCTGTCCAGTGCTCTCAGGTTTTCAATGGTCCTCAAACCGGTGTCAGTCCATGATGAATACTACTTTCAAACCAACGAAGGAACGAATGAAATGCACTCAACAACCTAGTGCATACTCGTGCAGTTGGCACTTAGTCATAGCTATTGTGCGGAGACTGATGACACTACTTGGCTGCCTAATTCTTGGTAGGTGGAGCAGTGTTCGAACATGTAACCCATTGGTTGAAAGTTAGCTGTCTAGACCAATGAGCCACATAAATTTCCAAACTGAAATCGTAATTTTATTGTAACAACATGATAAAACACTAAGATGATACGAACATAGAGATCAGTTTATTTGATTCACTCTGTCTAAAAATGTTATGGTTATACATCATGAAAATTTGTTCTTCACACAAGCCCAGTCACGGTTTACGATTACTTATTGGGAGCCATCTAGTAAAATCTTTCTATTTGTGAAGCATTGCTCAAAATGTCACTGAACATGTTACTGATTAAAAAACTTTTGAATAAAAATTAAGACCACCAAGACTTGCATTTCTGATGTAATGAAAAATACAGAGAGTAATTACATTCACTAATTTATTTAATGTGCAAAGATTCAATTTAAATGTAATCCATTTCAAGTATTATTTGTCTAAATGACTAATAATTGTAAAAGATATCTCTTACCACTTAACCCTTCAGGACAAACACCATTCATTCTCTGTAAACAGACTTGAAGTTGAACATCCCATATACGCAGTACACGATCTCTTGAGAAACTAAGTAAACGACTCCTTGAAACATGATACTGAACAGCTACTACAGCGGCTAAATGACCTCTAAGCAACTGGTACACATGATAAATAGAAAAAGAGATTAAATAATAGTAAAGCGACTAGGAAGTTATATATATATTCGATTGGTAGTGAGTTTGGAAGGATATTAAGATCTATCTGTTTTCCCTTAATCATCTGACCCAATATAAAGTCATTCGTTAACAGAGATACCATCTCTCAACAATATTGAACATATCTTTACTTCATTATCTCCTGACACCACATTTAGGTGGTCAGGATGACCCAGAAGTTCAAACGGCTGTGTTCTGGTCTCGGTTCATTCTGCGGGTGTGGGCTCGTATCTCACTCTTAACACCGTGCTTACAGCTTTTGCTTCGTTAGTCATCATAAAAGGCTAGTAAAAAGCTCTTCAACCGCATAAGATATCTTTGTTCGAAAGAGACACTGAAAGAGGAAATGAACATTACTGAAAAAATCCTGTGATAGTGGATATCTGCAGAAACTCACCAATAAGCACAAGAATATACTGACTAAAACTGTAAAATGTGGTATATTCGACAAGCCTATTTCCTTATATCTTGGTTTTAAAGGTGATAAGTTTCTGGGAGAATAAATGCTGCCTTAAAAAGTAACTATTCATGTGCTAGATTATTCTCACTCTGCTCACTGAAACGATTAAAGGTTGATATGTCCCATCTTCATGTTATTTCCAACTGCATGTACCAGTTCACATGTACATGCCAAAGCAGATACACTGTACGAACAGAAAGAAGGACTTGTGACCGTATGTTTGAGCTGATTCCAGTCAATTTACAACTGAGGTGGAAAAGCCTTCAACACCACTATTGTTCATCACTTTATTGATAGTGGATATGAAGTCGATATTTAGAAATTGTTCAAAATAGTTAATAAACAGGTGAATTTGAATTTGACTTCGCTGAAACGTTGGCCACTAAACGACTAATACCCAACGTATGTGTTCAGAAAACAACAGTTGTCAGTCCATGTCTACCATGGCAAAGACTTTTGTTTCTCTGACAATCATCACGTGTTTTACTATAGTTGTCAATTCATACACTTCGTTTTGTCTGTTTTGTTATTTTTCATTTCACACCCTTGGTCTAATTATCTGAATTCTACTCAAATTAATTCTTAGCTTACATAAGTCTTGACTTTTTTAACACATATTTTACGTAACCTTTCTCAATACATTTGTCCCCACCTACTATCCAGCTTCTGATCTAGAATATTCATTTTATCCTTCTATACATGGACAAACACTATTGGTTCTGCATATTTATTCACTCAATTCGTGTTTCTTCAATTACACCATATCGGCATTATCTTTATTCCAAGGCAATAATTTTATGTCAAACTGATTCAAGTTTGCAAACATTTTGTATAAAGTGATGTTCAAATTGTTTTCGGTTGTAAGCAACTGATAGTAAATCACGAAATATGATGGATTTATGCTGTTCTCCTAAAGTTGTTATTCTTACTCTATTTAAAGTGAATTGGATACCATGACAACTCAGTATTACTATAGTTAGCAACTAAAAGAAACACAATATCTTCTCAACGTTTGCACACTTCATCTCATTGTGAACATCTGAAGACACCTACAACTTAGTCATACATCTGAATCGTAGTCCTACTGAAATCAGAATGTTGAACCAATGAAAAGATGTCTGTAAAGATATGTCAGTTTTGATTTTATTTCTAATTTAGTATCTATCATAGACTGACATCAGTTCAAGAACTACTGAAAACTTGGGAGCATTGAACAGTTGTTTCGTCCTAGTAAGTGACTCATTGGCATTGTGCTCCTGAAAGTCCCGAGTTTGATCCTTCGTCCAGTCGTGATTGCGTACCTCTGAGGAGTACCACACAAAGATAAAAAGGTTGACCGGTGTCTCCAAGTTTTTTCAATGGTCCTCTAACTGATGTCAGTACATGATGAATATTGCCTTAAAAATAAAATCCCTAAAAACCACAAACTACATTACTGTATAGTGCTAATTAGTGAAATGTTTCAAGATGGATATCCCGAAGTTGTAGTCAGAAACCGGGACCTCTGGGGTCAGCCAGTCGGAGGTGAAGCGAATGGTGACTAAACACTTTGGTGGAGTTGCGCTGCATCGCGAACTGATAAAAATAGGACACTTCAAACCGTTGACCTTCAATTCAGTGGCTTAGTGATAACGCGTTTACCGTGGAACCTGAAGGTTCTGAGTTCGATTCCCGGCCAGATCGTGGGTGCTTACTGCTGAGGAGTTCAATGCCAGGACGAAATAGTTGTCCAGTGCTCCCAGGTTTCCAATCGTTCTCCAAACGCTGTCAGTCCGTGATGAATACCATCTTAAGAATCTGTCAGTTTGTTCAGTCTCAGTACGAGATAAAGATGAGACCATATCAGCATAGACAAAGCATTTCAAATGATAATTAATAAATTGCTTTCATCTATACGATTTTACTAAAATGCAGCAAAAATAATAGACCTTAAGTGAGGTAATCATTAACTGATATAGGCACATTATTGATCAGTCAATAGAGATTCTATAATTCGGTTGATACAAATGCTTATTGACTGATTTCAACAATATCTGCACAAATCCTGATGGCAGCACTGTTACATCATTTATGAACGAAACAAGTGCACACACAAATAACTACATCACTATCAATTAATTGTGTGTGAGAGTATCTTCATTTCAATTCCCTAGCGTTTGATGACTTTATTGCAACTTAGTCATTTTTAAGGGACAATAAAGGAATAAATTTTATGTACCTAAGAAATTCTTCACAAAATCATTTCTCCCCTGATAGCAATGGAAAATAAGCTACGAGCTTTATTTTACTTTTACACAGATCGCTTGTTTCATGATTCCTTTAATTTCATCAAGATCAAGCGACATCGTAAGAATCAAAGCCTTTTTGTGAACATTTATTTGTACTACTATATTCGAAATCAATTTTATTACTGAAAGTTACAAAAATAACTACATGCTGTTTGGCATTATCATATTATTTCACTTCATCCAATCAACAGAAAAGTTGCTTTATGACTCAGAATTTGTAGATCTCACCCTGGATGCAGTCAACAAAACGTGATATTAACAGATCACTACAAGGTAAACCAACTACGAAGCTTTGTAACGTTCCCAGCACTTGTTCAGCTTCCCTCAGTTTAGACTGAAGTATATACAAATGGGAATGTATCAGTAAAGTTCACTTCTGATTATAAACAGGATTTATACTGACTGTGCACTGATATTTAACTACGTTCATAGTGAAATTACTTTAGTGTACTTGTTGAAAAACAAATATCTGAGTGAATCTTACCCCATTTGGTTTAGAAACAACATAGGGATTCCATAGACAGACATGATAATTAACTCCAGCTGTTGCTATCTGATTATTACCTTCATGAAAATCGAAATCATTTATACCTTTGTGTATGGCGAAAACAGAACTGAAATCAAGCAGAAGAAGAAATTAATAGTCATTCCGTTAAATAAGCTTATTCAATCCAATATTCAATATCACTTTAATAATGTATCCGCTTGATTCCCAACCTTATTTATTGATTGTAAGGTGACATTCACCTGTCATATTGCTCGATACACTGCTGGTAACCCGCCTGTGTTAGTCTAAAAGAGACTAGTGTCTACGTCTAACTTTAACTGTTAATTTCTTACAAAATCTTCTTGTAGCTTCATGAACCTACAACTTCAAGAAGTTAATGACAATATGAGTTGCTGGTAAATAATCCATTACGCTTTGTAAATGCACGAGCAAATGACATCCTTACGATATGTTTTATGCTTGGGACTGAATAACGAGAAGAATGCCTAATTAGTGTTTCTATTTATGACACAAACTCCTTATTATAGCTTAAGGCAATCAATTAAGTTTGGGACTGCAAAATAAGTCACCAAATTAGCATTAACTCTGCCTTCGGCAGTGAAGAAAATTAACTGGTTTTCATCAAACTTCTCTGATATTCTCACTCTTTCATCCCAAATTCCAGTAGGTATATATCACTATAGCTCGGTACATCCAGGTTCAGTCGAGTCCTTCTACCTGCGAAATTCAAACATGCGCTTGATAGTGCTTGACCAAACACACCCAAGGTTCAAAACACTTTGTCTCATTCGATAAAATAAACTTCATTCCCTTTCATGACTAAGAAAATGTATAAAGGTGATACTCATCACGAACTGATATAACTTGGAGAACCATTGGAAACCTCGATGTATTAGACAGTTGTTTCATCCTAGTAAACGACTCGACAGCAGTGGGTACCCACGATCTCGCCGAGATTGAACTCAAGACCGTCAGGTCTTTCGACAAGCTCGTTACCGTTGAGCCACTGGGTTGGAATTCAAACAACCATATTTTCCTACTCTCGCTGATTCGCGACATAACCTGGGGTAAACACAACCTCGGAATAAATAAATATCCAAGAACCTGAAATGAGATTATAGTTCAATGTCTACTATTGACATCCTTCGAGAAGGATGTTCCGAAATTCTAACAAGAAGTAGTGACCTGTGGGTCAGACAGACTAAAACAACGTACAAACCTCCCAAACAAGTGCATCACCTCACGTTGCCACACTCCACAGTGGTTAACAAAGAATATGCAGTGATATCAAAATTGACAAAGTTGTGTGACACAATACGCAGCTTGAACATAAAGGCTAGTGCAAATATTCAAACTTTAGACGATGTCAAGGAGTAAATACATCTGCGCCACTGTGACCGAATTTCAGGCATCTCACACAGAGTTCTCAAACACTGATTCCTATTGTTTCAGGGACTCCAGCCAGGTAATCTACATCTGCATACACGACTCGGACCAATAGTAAGAGGTCTCATCGACTGGCGCCATGTCTTGGTCTGGCCACCCTGAACCCTCTTCCAACCTAATCCAACTTCCTTTAGCACTGAACGTCGAGGTTGATGGTGGCACAGCATGCGCAGTGCATGTCTAAGCCATCTCATCCGAAGTAGGTTCACAACTTCGTCAACAGACTGGCCTAGCGGTCTTCACCTAGCCTCAACAATGCTCACACCGTCGTATGGAAAACGAAGTCAGAAGTGAGGTGGATGTCTAGTAATGACACTGAGTGACAGTCGCACTAAATCGCGAACTGAGAGAAGTAGGAAAATATGATCTGAGAAGTTGCATGCTGGAACAAAACAGTTGTCCAATGCTTCCAGGTTTTCCACGGTCCTCTAACTGATGCCAGTCTATGATGAATACCACCTTTAAATAAATAAATCCCCAATAAAATCAAACAAAATTATTGCTGAAGAGACTACATAAAAGATAACACTAAACCATACGCAGTCTTGCCTAGTGGTGAATAGGCTACAAGTGAGCAAAAAAGATGTATTTTTCTTCAAATCACCCCAATATTGCTTTTATTTACGACAACCTAATGAACTGCTTCCTTCTATATTGTTTAGAGGTCTGAAGTAATGAATTAATCTGATAATATATATGTACTGGACATAGTAAACTGTAAATTGCTATCACAAATGCGTAAGTAGCAGGTAGTTGTTTTCTAACCACTCTTAATGTTGACATTCTACATATTTTGTTGCATAATTACAAACTATATTATTTTTAGTTTCATTCACTTTATATCAGCAACAGTTATATTTCGCTAAAGGATAAGAGATGCAAGACACGTAAAATTCACTAGTCTTCTTGATCACCACTTAGTTTGGATTTTGGAGAAGCAATGAACCAATTAGTCGTTTATTTTTTTTCTCATGAACACTAATCAGTTGACTATACAACGTTATATTGTATCTTAATAAGTTATTGTGATGCTTAGCAACGTGGTCACTTTCAATTACATAATATTTGCAAGTTAAAATTCGATAAAACCTTCAGTACTGTGGATTTAACACGGTACGACTAAGCCACTAGAGGTAGGAATTCAAACGCTTTGTATTTGATGAATTTTCTACATGGGATAATTATAGTGTGCTTTGACTCTGGAATTGAATAATACCACAGGTTGCAGTTTTCTATAAGTGTTCACAAAAACTCTGATACATTAATGTATGCTACATCAAAGCAAAAATCGTACGTATGAACATTTTAGTGTCTTTACTAAGTTTTGAATCGTATTAAAAATATACCAATCGACATTCCATTGTTATGAAAACTAGTGTGATGGAATTAAATGTAAGATTAGGTTGAAAGTGTAGCATACTACTTATAATTCATCTATAGTACTTACTATGCATCAACACTTACCGACGAGATAGCGCTCTAGGTTCACAACTAAAAATTAAAAGAAAAGAATCTGTGTTTGTTTAGTTGTGGTTGTTTTAAATGCAACAACATTTTCCAGTTTATCTAGTTAGTGATGCTCACATTTTTTTGAATATAACCGCAAAAAGTTGTTTAAAATCAAAGCAACAACTCTAGACTGACATCCAGAAACACGAAATTTAGCACTAAAGGATCTACCTGGTTAACAAAGACGTGGGGTTCATGGTGTACACTTTTCTGAACGTCTTCTGTTATCCGCTCTTTTAAAGTTAACACATATATATTATACAAGTTTACTGACTCAGCATCATAAAATAGATTCAAAATGTTCAAAAGTAAGAGGCTATATAACACCCAAACAGAATAATAAAAACAAATTCTACGCTATATTAATAATGGATTGTGTCTAGCAGCGAAACCCAGGACGCGCGTTTCGTTCTATTTGCGACTCGCTAACTAGATATACTTACCTGCCAATGAACGGTGTTGTCCCCACTAGCACACGCTTCGCTTCAAACGGGAGAGCGTTAACCACTAGACCACACAGCCATCGAGGCACCAGTGCAGAAGCCCATATGTCAGTAGACATAGATGAAATCGGTCCAAACAAAGACAGGATAATACAAGTAACATAACACTATGATAATTGAGCACTTATGGGTTAGTCAGACAGATAGACAAAACCAGCGTACAAACCTCCCAAACAAGTGCATCACCTCACGTTGCCACACTCCACAGTGGTTAACAAAGAATATGCAGTGATATCAAAATTGACAAAGTTGTGTGACACAATAAGCAGCTTGAACATAAAGGCTAGTGCAAATATTCAAACTTTAGACGATGTCAAGGAGTAAATACATCTGCGCCACTGTGACCGAATTTCAGGCATCTCACACAGAGTTCTCAAACACTGATTCCTATTGTTTCAGGGACTCCAGCCAGGTAATCTACATCTGCATACACGACTCGGACCAATAGTAAGAGGTCTCATCGACTGGCGCCATGTCTTGGTCTGGCCACCCTGAACCCTCTTCCAACCTAATCCAACTTCCTTTAGCACTGAACGTCGAGGTTGATGGTGGCACAGCATGCGCAGTGCATGTCTAAGCCATCTCATCCGAAGTAGGTTCACAACTTCGTCAACAGACTTACATGTCTTGTCTAGCAAGTGAGTAGGTGAACCGACCTCAAAAAAAGAGGGTCAACTAAAATGAGAAGGGTTAAACAATTTGACATTGGACAGAACCAAGAGAATTACATATTTCTAAATCTACCGTATTGGATCATTTGTGAACTTTGGGTGAATGGGAAACTTGGTTTCTTACCGCAGTATGGCCTATTAACCAAGTGTATCAGAACACTAGAAAATGTTATGAGGAAAATAACGATAAGAAAATACGAAAGTTAGAAGATTACTCAGGCAACAAATCCTCTAGATGATTCTTTTGCATCAACTATGAATAAAACAGTAAGTGACCTGTGAAATATAGCGATTGTACGCAGGTTCTTGTACTAAGCTGCTAGTCTGTAGTTATTACTAACCATCTATTAAAACTGAAATATATGTATTAAAACGAAACCAGTGACTAGGTGATCGAAAATCAAGTCCTGGGGTTACGAGACTGCAGCGCAGGTCTGTTCTCTCACCGATCGGGTTACATTATCTGCAAAACTTTATCTCCTCCTCTATATCAAATGTGTAAAAACCTCAAAGGTATCGGTGTTAGTACAGTTGCATCGAGGCTTACGATTTCATTCTATCTTCTCAAATTTCCAGTGCTTTCAAAGTCAAATTATTGCTCTGTGAAGTTATTAGACCTGTAATTCTAGCTCACTTTAATAATGTTGAATAATAAACTTTTCTTAAAGTCATGACGAAACTTTTAGAACAGATTAGGTAGCAAAAACTTGCATACAGTATATTTCGGTTTCTGCCCAGAGTGTCGTTTGTAGGCAACTTCTCCAACCAAGTAACAATCATTGAATTATTCCATACCGTCGAGCATGTAATAAATGCTTCAAGCTGAGGGATATACATTACTGAAAAGTATACAAACCTGTAAGTGACAGAAGGAAACAAACTCACCTTTACGCACCCAGTCTGTGTGCACACACAAACGTAAGAATGAAACAAATTTTGATTTTTTCTGAATGACATCATTTAAAGAGACACTGAATGTTGATTCTAAAACATTTTGAAGCATAAAAGTAAGGACAATTTAAAACACAGAAACGTGCAGAAAAATCTTTTCTGGACTTTAGAAATACTTTAGGATAATATTCTTGAAATTAAAATCATGTTGAATAATAGATTATTTTTAGACAATATGGATTGGATTTGAGAATTTATTTTTAAATACTTCCAAGGTTTTTGAAAATCAAAGCAGGCGCAATCAGCAAATTAAGCAATGATCCACGTTGAGCAACAGTTTTGCGAAATTCAAGTGCCACAATTACTTTAGCCAATTAAAACTGAGTGATATCTTAATGTATCACAAAGTTCGAGAATTACAAGTAGTACATATTTAACGGAAGAATAAGGATAAAAATTACTCAACCAATCAATCAGCATCAACGTAGGACCCGATATTACTACGTACCGGTCCGTTTTACTGCAAGTCATATCAATACTTCAACTCAGAAGGCATCATGATGGAAGGTAGAGAAATAAGTTAAGATGAAGATATTGTGTGGGTAGATCTGCGCCACTGAGATCGATTCTGAGCTTTTTCACCTGGAATCTCCAACCGCTGGTTTATGTTGTAGCGCGGACCCCAACACTTCTCTACACCCCTCAGAGCAACAGTCAGACACTGCATGAACTGACAACATATTTTAGGTCGGTTGCTTTTGCCGACTTAAATCTTCTTCAGCCAACACTGTACGATGAGGTAAACGGTGACTTGGCATGTGTAGTACATGTCCTAATCCCCCTAAGTCAATGAATGTTCACAACTTCAACTGACTTTCATCTTCTACCTAAAACTCTACGCCTGACTCCCAAGTTACTGACGTGGTGTTACCATGACATATGGCCTATACTGTGAAGGCAACACTGATAAGAAACCAGAAACCTCAAAGCTTTTAACTTCAATGACCGTGTTTCACAGTCACATATTTGAACAAGATGAAGCGCAGAGCAGCATATACGGCCCCTAGTAAACAAATGCATACCATTGCAGTACTATTAAAGGCGTGAGTTGACGAAAGCCAATCGAATCTTTTGTATCCATCTAGACATATTGTCGGTAGCTGACCTCTTAGGTCTGACCCGACTTACCAAGTGAATGAAGTGGTTAACGTTCCTAGATATGTTACTCCTTCCTATTAGTCACAGAACCACCATAGATCAATCCTGGAGTAGAAATTCGCATTTGCATGGTGGGAAACGCATCCCAAACGTTATTAATTGCCAGTGAAGGCATCCAGAAAACTGTACATATTGTCAGCATCTTCATCAAACAGGAATATGTCATCAGCGTACTATAGGTCTGCAAAGGATTCTCTTGTAACAGCGTTAATTTCTGTAGAGTCAAGCGATGAAATGAAGGCCTCCTTAAGCACGTCTATGACAAAGTTAAATCAGAAAAGAGTAATTAACCAATCTTTGCGGACACCACTTGACGTGTACAACCTATTTGATAGCTCACAATAGGCTCTAATAAGTCAACACATGTTCGGAGACAGAAACGTCAACAGTGTGACGTAATTGCTTGGCATGCTTTTGAGTTAGACAAACTGCCATAGGACCTCTCGACCGACGGAGTTGAATGCCGTCTCAGGGATAGTAGGGAGAAAAAATCAACGTAGACTTTGGCACACAAGTGTGTTGGTTCAGGTAAAAGAAATACAGATAGTGTCCGGTATCGATAAGCAAGGCTGTGTTACGGAATTCACTGGAGAGTGAACCTCTAGCCGATACACTCGCAAACAGATGGCTAACCTACATCGTTTCCTCAGGATTGCCATTCCTGAGATTCGCCTAAACATTGCATGACTATAGGGTCTACGATCATAGACCTTATTTGTCACACCGAATCCACTACGGTTATCACAGTAGGACGGCTCGCCTTTATTAGAAAGTGAGACCAGTTACAGGGGACAACGGTGAACAAGTCCTCGGAAAAATATTCACACTCCAAAACGCTCTGGAACACAAGCACGTTTGCCGGCGCCTGACAGTAGCTGTGTCCCTCGACTTGAAGGCGACATTTGACTCCGTCGATGGAGAAGTCTGATGTTGTCTCTCACTGAGAGGGGTACCCAGTAAGCACACCACCATGTTGCAGGCTCTTCACTCGAACTCCTGCAGCCATGTTAGGGCCTATAGTGAGATGTTGGGTGAGTTGTGCACGTCCAGTGGTATCCGTTAAGGATCTCCATTGTCCTCATTCTTATTCAATTTTATCATAGGCGTTCTTCTGGAGGTCTCCTACTCTTCATCTGACCACACATGGATTGACGTAATCACACGAGAATTTTCGGGAGACCTAAAATACGCAGATGATATAATCCTGTTAGGTGAAACGCTGAAAAGATGCAGTCTTCTGGACACCTTTAGTGGGAATTTGTGAATATTTCGGATGCGTTTCTCGCCACCAAAATTCAAATTCAGGACTGGTCTTCAACGATACCTCGGTTAACAATAGAGTGAAGTGAATGAGTGCGTTGAAAACTCTACTTACCTGAGAAGTCGGATCAGTGGCCAACGAAATCTCTACACAGATACAAAAAGCTTGGTTGGCTTTTGCCAACATATGCCATCTGTGGCGATGCCGAGATATCTTATTGTCTATTAAGGGTCGAGCGTACTGCACTGAAGTCCTTCCTGTTCCATTCTATTACTGTGAAATATGGGCATTAAAGATAGAAGACATGAAGTTTCAGGTGTTTGACCACCGTTTCCTTCGTAGTATAGTTCGTGTTTCGTGATTTCACCACGTAACACAGAAGTCAGGCATAGAGTTTTAGGGAGGAAAGGTAAGTAAGTTGATGCGGTTATGAACCTTCATCGACTGAGATGGCTGGGGCGTGTGTTACGTATGCCTAGGTACCATCTACCTTGTCGTACAATACTGGCCGAAGTAAGTTCAGGCTGGAAAAGGTTCGGGACAGACAGACAGACCAAAGCATGGCATCAATGTTCGTTTGGGCTATGTAGGGTGATGGAAACTAGCCAGTTGGGGTCAGCGAGACAAGAGAAACCAGTGGTTGGAGACTCTATGTGACATGACTGTGGACCGATATCTCTGGCGCAGATGTATCCTCATCTTAACCGCTGTACTTACTTTCATCATTTTTTCATTCCCTCTTCCTCTCTTTTACTACTTTCTACTTCTTTTGACCGATTTTTCCTTTTCTTCATCTCCTATTAAATTGCCTTGATACTCAGTGTGCTGATATGAAGTGTGGCAACTTGGACCGTTACGCAGTAATTCCTGGTCCTGCGTTCAGTTTGATGATGATGACCAAGAGGTATAAGGATCTTTTAGGAAAACCAAAAATAATCTCTTCTCAGTGTGGAGACTAAGCTTTGCAACGATATGATGAAGTAAACTACCACCCTTCATCGTATAACAGCTATGAAGAACAAACGACGCACAAGCACTTCAGGCTTCAATAAGTTGACGGCATAATAAAATCACTTCGGTACGTAACATACGGAATGTACTTACGACCATTGTGTTTCTCTCTGACTGAATAGCAAGACAACCGTTATTTTATCCTTACCCTCTTTTTGCTTCGATAAATTTGTGGGCTTCTCAAACAAAGCCATTGTAGCATAGGCCCAGAATAAAATGTTGAGGTATCCTCTAGTATCTCCCCAGACCAATAAGGCTTCATTAGGATTATCAGGTTTATACCTAATGTAGAAAATACGAAAAGACTACTCTTACCAATGGTTTAGGCTGGTTGGTATATCTGTTATATCGCACAGTTTGATAGGGCAAAATAAGTCCATTTTAATACCTAAATTACAAAACGCTAGAAAGCAGATAGTTAACAGTGAATAATTACTAACCAATTTCCTTGCTGGTAAAAGCTACTGCAACTCTGTTAACATTTGGCATTACAGCGAAGTCGATAACACAGAAGTTTTTTGGTCTGCATGATTCCGTTGACACTTTAGCTATTCTGTGTGATTTTAGGTCTATCCCCCAAAGTGTAGCAAGTCCCTCCTAGTTGTAGGAACCCAAATCTGGGGGGTTGATTTCAGGCTAACTTACCCTACTTATCGACAAGTATCTTGAAATATTTTTCAGAAAAACAATTTTCTGTAGATTACCTTTATGAGGGCTTAGTGAATATAATAGTGATGAAATTCAAAACCTCTTAATTGACTTCAGATCTTTCCACTGTGGTACATTTAGAATCTTTTGCCTGTTGTCTTGCTCATAAAATTCCAAAAGCAAATAAGATGCAAATTTGTCCCAGTCGACAAAACCATCTGAGGTGATATCGATTTTACTAAAGAGATCCTTGTACTTATGAGAATATAAGATTAGTGATAAATCATTTACCTCCTGCCGTGAGCCACGGCTTATAAGCAGGCCCATACTCTCAGCAAATTGTTCCTTAGTTAGTCTCAATTTATTGCCATATCCTTTTCCTTCAAACTATATCAAAAAGTAGAAATGTGTGGTGACTTACAGAAAACGCATCATAAATAGCTTGCAGGTCACAAACATTTAACTTTGACTCCATTTTCTGGTCCGTAGCACTGAAATACAATGTGTGCAAAGAAATTTAAATACCTCGTGGTGTGTGATTCTTTGGAGGCTTTCGCGATTACACTTACCATTCCCAGCGTAAATTTAAACTAGTGGGAAATTTCAAGTTGGCATGTTTACACTTGAAATAAGTATTTGTTCAGTGGACGGTGCACAGAGAACACCAATTAAGTTTTTTACTGTTGTTTCAAGTGAAAATGTTTTTTAACCAATATGCAGTTAGCTAGTCACGAACACTACCAACCACTCAAATATGTTCTGGAAATAGTTTCTATGGTCAGTAGCCGAACTGAAAAAGATTTTGTTCGGCCACCTTCTGCGCTTTGCATCAACAACAAGTGAGCCCATCCGCTTCCGCGCAAGGTGCAAAAGAAATAAATGAGAATTCAGTTGGATGAAGAAACCATATCCTTTGTCATTTAACTAGCATGTAGTGCACCTTCCTGGCACCAAAATATAACTAGGGCTAAAATAAATAGTTTAAATTAAATTAACTAAATAAATCTCTAGCTTGCCTCCGGATGCTTAGGGTGTTTTAAGTTTTGTTTTAACGAGCATGCATCCGAGCAGGCTTGGACGCCATTTTTGCGCTCCATTGTGCTGATCACCACGCACGTACTCCGAGTCCCTAGTTCAGCCTTACAAGCCAGATAAGTTGATTAAACTTTTCCCTCATTCATTATTATTACATTTACCTTAAATACATAGCTCCTTTAAATACATTGCGTATCAGTTCTTTTGATTTGTGTTTTGTTACCAGTACTTACACGTTAGGTAAAGTACTGGTTAAGCAGGTACTAGAGCACATCAAATTAAGTAGGGTTGATCAAACGTTACGGAATTGTAACACGCATCCCTACAAAATTGGTGAGCCCGAGTATCACTTCTTACTTTGTCTAGTACCTTTGTTCTCTTGCGTTGATTTGTCTGGCCTATTTTTGTTTTTGGCACGTCTAGCGTTTTTTTTTTATTATTGCACTCCTCATTGGTTATTTTTGCATTGTAATTTTTTATTATCACTATCGTGCCTCGTTAATTCCCTGATCAATGGCGGATAACGACTCGACTGCGCAGATGGCCGTAACCCTCCAGCTTCCCACCTTCTGGGCCCACAGACCATCTGCATGGTTCTCCCATGTGGAAGCTCAGTTTGCCTTGAGACACATTCAATCACAAGAAACTAAGTCCAACTTAGTCATCGTCAGCTTACCGGAAAATGTGATCGAAGACGTCTCAGATGTGCTAGATGACCCAGCACCGAATCTTTACGATCGCCTCAAAACCGCCCTCATCAAACGTGTTGCACTTACTGACCAGCAGAAAGTGCAAGAACTTTTCAGGGATGTGCATCTGGGTGATCGCAAGCCGACGCAACTGCTTCGTCAGATGAAGCAGCTGATTGCTGACTTCAACATTGATGAAGCATTTCTCAAGCAACTGTGGTTACAGAGGTTACCACAGTCGGTTCAAGGGATCCTCGCACCCTTCCATAAGTGTCCCTTAATAGAGCTGGCGGAAGCGGCTGACAGAGCTGTGGATGCTACGAAACCCAACACTAGTATCTCAGCTGCACTGTCTACTGCCACGGATTCGTCAAAAACCACATCCTCCTCGGCTGTTGAGCCAACAAGTTTCGATGTTATAACTCACATCTCGAAATTGTATGAAGAGTTGTGCAGCATCAGGAACGAAATGCGGTCTGGTAGTTCTTACAAAGGTCGCAGCCTCGCTCGCGCAACAGGTCTGCCTCCCGTACCGGCAGCAGACGTTCCAAATCGCGACAATCCCAACCAGGTTGTGCTGGTACCATAAACGTTATGGTGCCAATGCCAAAAGGTGCACTCGACCTTGCACCTTCGAGGCTAACCAGGCGGGAAACGTGTGAGCCAGCACGTGACGGCGACTAACGTCGCTGGCGAGCCACTTCCATGTCGCCTCTTCTTCGTCACTGATCGACATTCTGGGATACGCTTCCTAGTTGACACTGGGGCAGAAGCTAGCGTCATCCCACCTACGAAGGAAGAGCGTCTGCGGCCAATGTCTCTGCAACTTCGTGCCGCCAACGGTTCGCCCATCACAACCTATGGTCGGAGATTCCTCGATCTCAACCTTGGATTGCGTCGTCCCTTTCGTTGGGTTTTCATAGTGGCAGATGTGACCACCGGCATTATTGGTATGGATCTCTTGCAGCACTATCAGCTGCTGGTAGATGCTGGCAAGCATAAGTTGATAGATTCTACCACAACACTCTCTGTTTCCGGTATAGTCACAAAGACGCCGCCCCTCAGTCCCGTGTACTGCACGACGGACGCTTCTAGTCCCTACGCGTCTATCATTCAGTCCTTTCCGGATGTCTTTAAGCCAAGTCGTTGTGTCCCTTGTGTGACTTCGAACGTTTCTCATCACATAACGACGACTGGCCCGCCAGGTTTGCGAAACCACGGCGATTATCCCCGGAGAAACTGCGTGCTGTAAAAGCCGAGTTCGAACACATGCTTGAAATGGGAATAATCAGACCATCCAACAGTCCATGGTCTTCACCCTTGCATGTGGTACCCAAGAACAATGGCATGGACTGGAGGCCTTGTGGTGACTACCGAAGGCTCAACGCTAAAACGATTCCAGATCGTTACCCAGTCCCTCACATTCACGACTTGACTGCATCTTTAAAAGGCTCGGTTATCTTCAGTAAGCTTGACTTGACGCGTGCATATCATCAGATCCCGGTTCATCCTGATGATGTTCCCAAGACAGCCGTCATTACACCGTTTGGTCTTTTTGAGTTCCTCCGTATGCCTTTTGGTCTTCGCAATGCAGCACAAACCTTCCAACGTTTTATTCACGATGTTTTACGTGGACTCGATTTCGCCTATGCCTACCTAGACGATATACTAATCGCTAGTCCAGACGAAGACACTCATTTTAACCACTTGAAACAGGTTTTCGCCAGACTGTCAGAGCATTCGATGACAGTCAACCTGGCCAAATGCCAAATTGGCGTTCGTTCACTAAAATTTTTGGGACACGTTATCGACGAGCAAGGCATTCGCCCACTACCTGAAAAGGTACAGGCGATCCAAGACTTCCCAGTCCCAGGGTCACTTAAAGCTCTGCGTGTGTTTCTGGGTATCGTCGCTTCGTTCCCCAATGTGCACACATTTTGACTGCACTGACCGACCTGCTGAAAAGTAAATGTAAAACTTTCAGCTTGACTCCGGAGGCACTAGAAGCATTTCGCAAGATCAAAACCGCAATAGCAGACGCCACGATGCTGGTGCATCAAGACGTAAACCTACCTCTTAGCATTGCGGTTGACGCCTCTAACACGGCCATTGGAGCTGTGTTGCAACAACTTTCGGATCACACTTGGATCCCAGTTGCATTCTTCTCCGGAAGTTATCCACCTGCGAAATGCGGTACAGCACTTTCGGCAGGGAACTGCTCGCCATATATGCCTCAGTGAAACATTTTCGTCATTTTGTGGAAGGTCGTGACTTCATCATCTTTACCGACCATAAACCTCTGACGTATGCCTTACACACCACTACTGACAGATATTCACCGCGTGAATTACGTCACCTAGATTATATTTCGCAATTCACGTCGGACATCCGTCATATTTCTGGTGCGAATAACCCTGTCGCGGACGCACTGTCTCGCGTTTGCACCACTACTTTGCCTCGAGCAGTCGACTTACGGAAGATTGCCGAACTTCAGGATTCAGACGAGGAGATTGAAAAACTTCAACACTCATCCTCTCTGAAGATACAGCGTTTACCGCTCCTGAACAGTGAAGTGTCAATATTGTGCGACACCTCCACAGGCACACCCAGACCCTTGCCGCCGGACTCCCAACAGACTCGTTTAGTCGCGCGTATCCTGAACCTTCTAAAAGAGCCACGTCTAGTAACACTGATCCAGTACCCTCTACACGTGCTGGGAGGCGTGTACATTGGCCCAAGCGATACGCCGATTTCGTTAATTAGCCCCAGCGCAACTTCACACTTGGTGAATTCGGAGTTTCAACTACTTTGTCGTGGCATACACTTTCAATGCGTTTTCATACTAAAGTTTTCAAAAGTCATGTTTACTACTTTGCAAACAGTTTTTTTCAAAAAAACCAAAAATACAATTTAAATTCCAAAAACTTTTTTTTGGTTGGTTATATATTTTTTCTGTACTCCTCCCACTTCGAATTGTTTGGTTTTCCTTTTCTTAGCACTCTAATGTCCCATTTCTTTCTTCTTGCAGAACCTAGAAAATGCGTTGAAAATTGGATACAATTGGCCGCTGACGATGCTACTTGGATCGTTCTTCGGTTCTCTTTGTACCAATTTCCCCCTGTACACTCCCCGGTAGATTAAGAAGCAATAGGGAAAAGTAGACGGAGGCTTTGGGTCACCTTCCACCACTGCGAGAAGGGTTGCGTCTAGACGCAAAGTTCTCTTACCTCGTAGGTGTGCATAGTTGCACTAGCTTCGGAGACCCACACGTCACCTACTCCATCACCAATATGGAAAGGTGTTGCGTGTCCGCCTCGCAGTCGCCTCCTAGGATCGAAGGTTGCCGGTATCCCAACAACCTTCTAGGGGGGGATAACCTGTAGTGCACCTTCCTGGCACCAAAATATAACTAGGGCTAAAATAAATAGTTTAAATTAAATTAACTAAATAAATCTCTAGCTTGCCTCCGGATGCTTAGGGTGTTTTAAGTTTTGTTTTAACGAGCATGCATCCGAGCAGGCTTGGACGCCATTTTTGCGCTCCATTGTGCTGATCACCACGCACGTACTCCGAGTCCCTAGTTCAGCCTTACAAGCCAGATAAGTTGATTAAACTTTTCCCTCATTCATTATTATTACATTTACCTTAAATACATAGCTCCTTTAAATACATTGCGTATCAGTTCTTTTGATTTGTGTTTTGTTATCAGTACTTACACGTTAGGTAAAGTACTGGTTAAGCAGGTACTAGAGCACATCAGGTTAAGTAGGGTTGATCAAACGTTACGGAATTGTAACACGTATCCCTACAAGCATTCACTCCATAAGGAGTCGCATAATCGTGTTCACATGCTTCTAAGGAAGTCACCTCTTTAGGGAAGGATTCACATACTGCAAAATTCATCCTGCTGCTCTTCTGAGATCAGAAGAAGTTCGCCGACGCAGGATAACCGAAATCACCAGGATTCAACGAATGCGTCACTTTCCAAGGTATAAGTAAGACAGTCATCACCCTGTATTCTTCGTGGTGTTGACACTTTAGCTATTCTGTGTGATTTTAGGTCTATCCCCCAAAGTGTAGCAAGTCCCTCCTAGTTGTAGGAACCCAAATCTGGGGGGTTGATTTCAGGCTAACTTACCCTACTTATCGACAAGTATCTTGAAATATTTTTCAGAAAAACAATTTTCTGTAGATTACCTTTATGAGGGCTTAGTGAATATAATAGTGATGAAATTCAAAACCTCTTAATTGACTTCAGATCTTTCCACTGTGGTACATTTAGAATCTTTTGCCTGTTGTCTTGCTCATAAAATTCCAAAAGCAAATAAGATGCAAATTTGTCCCAGTCGACAAAACCATCTGAGGTGATATCGATTTTACTAAAGAGATCCTTGTACTTATGAGAATATAAGATTAGTGATAAATCATTTACCTCCTGCCGTGAGCCACGGCTTATAAGCAGGCCCATACTCTCAGCAAATTGTTCCTTAGTTAGTCTCAATTTATTGCCATATCCTTTTCCTTCAAACTATATCAAAAAGTAGAAATGTGTGGTGACTTACAGAAAACGCATCATAAATAGCTTGCAGGTCACAAACATTTAACTTTGACTCCATTTTCTGGTCCGTAGCACTGAAATACAATGTGTGCAAAGAAATTTAAATACCTCGTGGTGTGTGATTCTTTGGAGGCTTTCGCGATTACACTTACCATTCCCAGCGTAAATTTAAACTAGTGGGAAATTTCAAGTTGGCATGTTTACACTTGAAATAAGTATTTGTTCAGTGGACGGTGCACAGAGAACACCAATTAAGTTTTTTACTGTTGTTTCAAGTGAAAATGTTTTTTAACCAATATGCAGTTAGCTAGTCAGGAACACTACCAACCACTCAAATATGTTCTGGAAATAGTTTCTATGGTCAGTAGCCGAACTGAAAAAGATTTTGTTCGGCCACCTTCTGCGCTTTGCATCAACAACAAGTGAGCCCATCCGCTTCCGCGCAAGGTGCAAAAGAAATAAATGAGAATTCAGTTGGATGAAGAAACCATATCCTTTGTCATTTAGCTGGCATTCACTTCATAAGGAGTCGCATAATCGTGTTCACATGCTTCTAAGGAAGTCACCTCTTCAGGGAAGGATTCACATACTGCAAAATTCATCCTGCTGCTCTTCTGAGATCAGAAGAAGTTCGCCGACGCAGGATAACCGAAATCACCAGGATTCAACGAATGCGTCACTTTCCAAGGTATAAGTAAGACAGTCATCACCCTGTATTCTTCTTGGTGTTTCGGTTGATCGCCTCAAAAGAATGGCGTCCTCTGTTCTACTTTTGAACATCAGGAAATAACTTTCGGTCAAGAGAGTGGCTAAGCAGTGCGCCAAGACTGGGAACTTCAGCTACATTATAGCCGCGCGAATATTTTCGGGTTCCGGGGCAGTATATATTACGAGCGAAAGTACACTAAAGAGTACCAGATTAACAATTCAGTTTGTGAATGTGAGTTGTACTAGGTCTCCAGAATATTCGCATCGCTTGAAGGCTTTATATAAACCAAGTAACTACAGAGTCACCGGTTGACCGAGAGTTGCAGCACCTCATTGTTGCCGTCTTTCAACTACCTGGATCTTACAAGTTAGGATACCCCTACTTTGGTGCCCCAAAACGATGCGGCTTGGTGAAACAGGCTTTTCAAGTCTATAGCACCCCTTCTGTAAACCCAACTAGTTGCAGGTGCCCATCATCAATTGTTGTATTTTTGCACAGGTTTCTTGTCTACTTTACAGGCGCATATTTGTGCTGCTGTCCTTCCTTTTGTGGTTGTGCCTACGATACTTTTAACCTCAGCAATTTGCGAGTGGAATGAATTATTCTTTCGGGTGGTGTGGAACGCTTTAAAGGTAAGGGCAGTCGGGAATGGTCCATAGTATGCACCATCTGGACAGATTTAAATCTTTAGTGGGTGCAGACCCCCTGCTAAGTGCATTCAGTTTCACAGTATACCTTAAATAGATAAACAAACATTTTATTCTCATATTGGTAATTTAACATGAGAGGAGCCAGTTTACAGGCATCATCGCGTCGATATATGTTAAAAAATCTACGGGATTTTACGGGACCTGAATGGTGCAGAAGGGAGGTCACTAAATTCTATCAACAACACCAGGAGGTTCCACGAGTTATGAAATGAACGAAAAAATGCCACTTTTCAGCGCATACAGAGTGTTAAAGTTTAGATCGTCCTCAGTCACGCTTTTCCCTACTGGTGCCACCAGGGTTGCGCAAAATTCTAAGTTTCCGCTACAAGCAGTCGACACTTTCGATTCGTCTTCGTGACGTCACGCTGTACTAGATAAACGTCCATTTCACCATAAATTCTTATGCTTATAGCTTTTGAGACCGAAAGAATTCACATTTACGATTTCTGGGAGTCTGTAAGTTTCCACATAATCATGTGACCTAAATGGATATCTATTCAAGTGTTACCGTTCACGGCAATGTAGGTTTACGTCATCAGAATTAGATATTGTCGTGCAATGGAATAAACATTTGAAGAACTGCAGACCAATGGCAATGGGTCGCCCATATTGTTCATGTTAAGGTATGCAACATTATCAAGGAGGGATGTTAACTTGATCCCTACAAAATCCTGGAAGTTTCAGGTCACCTGCTGCCCAAACGATATCAGTCTAAGCTGGAACAAGACATTTAAGTGAACGTTATTGCTTAACCTCGCCTGGTTAACTAGTTAACTAGTTACTAGCCGGTCCTAAGCCCGGGTAAAGAGGGAAGGTTGGGCATAGGGCTAGCAACCCTACCCCGTAAAACAAATCTAACCGCTAAAGAAACTTCAAAGCACAAACAAAATATAAAAAATGAAAACAAACTTATTCCCCGCTGGAATCGGAGAGGCGAAATGACGCCAGTTGGTGAAAGCCTTCGGGAAGCCAATTGGCCGATGTGTCTTCTCTCGATGAAAGCGAAAGTAAACGTGGGGACATGGAATGTCCGCACGATGTTTGAACCCAGTAAGGCAGCCCAGATTGCAAGGGAGATGAGAAGGTATAACATCGAAGTGCTTGGGATTTGCGAAAGCAGATGGAATGGGAGTGGACTCTCCAAACTGTCAACTGGAGAATCAATAATCTACTCCGGTCACCCAGACGCCAACCACGAGCACACTGAGGGAGTGGCTATCATGATGTCCTCAAGAGCATCGAAGGCTCTCATGCAGTGGGAACCAATCTCCTCCAGGATCATGACAGCAAGATTCAACTCAAAAGGAAGAAAGGTCACAATCATACAATGTTATGCACCTACAAATAATGCAGAGCAAGAGAAAAAGGAGGATTTCTACAGACAACTTCAATCAACACTGGACAAGACGTCAGTTGGCGATATCAAAATTCTGATGGGCGACATGAATGCCAAACTGGGAGGGGACAACACGGGAAGAGAACTAACCATGGGTCGAGAGGCACTAGGTGAAATGAATGAGAATGGAGAATTGTTTGCAGAATTCTGCGCATTCAACGATTTGGTGATTGGAGGCAGTGTGTTCAGGCACAAAGATATCCACAAAGCGACATGGATTTCACCAGATGGACACACTAAAAATCAAATCGACTTTATCTCAATCTCAAGAAAATGGAGACGCAGTCTACTTAACACAAGGTCAAGAAGAGGAGCAGATGTAGGTTCAGACCACTACCTAGTGCAAGGAACCTTCCAAATCAAGTTAAAAGCCTTCAAGGAAGCTGGTGATAGACCTCAACCCAAGTACAACACTCGGAAACTGAAGGATGAAACTACAAAGGAGATCTTCAAGGCAGCCATCAAGACAAAATGGGAGACATCGAGCAACATCCCTGAAGAAACCTGTGTGGAAGAACATTGGAAGTCTTTGAAAGCTATGTGGAAAGAAACCTGCACAACAGTATTAGGAAGGAAGAAGAAAGAAGACAAGGAATGGATCTCGACGGATACCTGGAAGCTGATAGAGGAGAGGAGGATGGTGAAGCAGAAGATAAACCAGTGCAAGGATGCTCAACGACAAGAGGAACTGAGCACAATGTATAAAACACTGGACAAAGAAGTGAAGAAGAGTGCACGCAAAGACAAAAGACACTTCTACGAAACACTGGCAAGTGAAGCAGAACAGGCTGCAGGTAAGAGAGACCTGACGACATTGTATCAAATAACCAGGTTGCTGTCAGGGAAGAGACCAACACAGATGAAACCAATAAAAGATGAAGAAGGAAATTTAATTACAAAAGAAGAGAAACAGAGGAAACGATGGGCCGACCACTTCAAGAAGCTCTTGAATCGACCACCACCTGCACTTCGTCCAGAAATACCACCTGCAGCCGCTGAACTACAAGTGAACATTAATCCCCCAACGAAAATGGAAGTCCTGAACGCCATAAAGCTACTGAAATGTGGGAAAGCAGCAGGACCAGATGGAATACCGCCAGAAGCACTGAGAACAGATGCAGAGACAACAGCGGCCATGCTCACACCACTATTGCAGAAGGTGTGGAAGGAAGAGAAGGTACCTGACGATTGGAAGAAGGGTTACCTTGTCAAACTGCCGAAGAAGGGAGACCTCAGTGCTTGCAAGAACTGGCGCGGAATCACTCTCCTGTCCACCCCAAGTAAAATATTAAGCCGCATCATCCTGGAGAGGCTTAAAGATGCACTGGATTCAAAACTACGACCGGAACAGGCAGGCTTCAGGAAGTACAAATCATGTGCAGACCAAATTGCAACGCTTCGCATCATCATAGAACAGAGCATAGAATGGCAATCACCTCTCCACCTCAACTTCATCGACTTTGAGAAGGCCTTTGACAGCGTCGACCGAGAAGTAATTTGGAAACTGCTTCAATACTACGGAGTGCCGCAAACCTTTATCCGCCTCATTCAACAACTATATGAAGATGCCACATGCCAAGTAATCCACAATGGGAAGCTCAGTGATGCCTTTGAAGTGAAGACAGGAGTGAAACAAGGTTGCCTACTATCCCCCATGATATTCTTGATTGTGGTGGACTGGATCATGCAGCAAACAGTAGGCAGCGAGAAGAGGGGGATACACTGGACGACGGAAAAGAACCTAGAAGACTTGGATTTCGCCGATGACTTATGCCTAATGTCACATAAACTTGAAGATCTGCAGGCAAAAACTAACAAGTTGATAGAAGAGGCAGCGAAGACGGGACTTCAGGTGAATATAGAGAAGACAGAAGTGATGAAGATACCGCACCACCACCATCATCAACAACAACAACAAACTCCAATCACTGTCAACGGGAGAAACTTGAAGGAAGTAACCTCCTTCACTTATCTAGGAAGCACTGTTTCAACTACAGGCGGGACGGACGAGGACGTCAAAGTCAGAATCGGAAAAGCAAGACAGGCATTCATTAGCCTGAAACCAGTGTGGAGATCTTCTGCACTCAGCATGCGGAACAAGATACGGATTTTCAACACCAACGTCAAGTCAGTGCTCTTGTATGGCTCAGAGACTTGGCGCGTCACGAAAGGTATTTCCAATAAACTACAGACATTCATCAACAACTGCTTACGCTCGCTGCTGAAGATCAGATGGCCAGAAAAAATAAGCAACAAGGAACTCTGGGAACGAACCAACCAAGAACCTATCACGCAACAAATATGCAGGAAGAAGTGGAGATGGATTGGCCATGCACTGAG